CACAAGTGTCTTTGCACGGCGTAGACAAGAGTTTATCCCCATGTGACCAACATGAAGTTTTCTCTTGATCTCATCTCTCAATGCAAGTGGGATGACAACTCTAGGTCCACGAAGAATTATCCCATCTTGAATGGTGAGTTCGTCTCTGTAACTGAAGTAAGGAGTAAGCTCAGAGGACAGATTCTCCTTATGTGTTGGCCATCCTTCCATTATAGTTGATTTAAACTTGGTGAGGGTTTCATCAGATGCAGTTGCAACTCTAATGTCATTCATGAGCTTGTCCTTGATCGGCAGATGATAGACGTTATTCACATACACAGTTTCAGAGGAAGGTTTGTCAGGCAATGGCGCTCTTGAAAGTGTATCAGCAATAGGAATAGCTGTTCCAGGTAGATTATCAAATGTCCCATGAAGGTGATTTCACTCAATCGCAGTTCAAGTTTTGATGGGTTCAGCTTGATATGGCTCTCGCGACATCTTGCTAGAAATGCTTCAAGATGAGCATCATGTTCTTCTAGGTTCCGACCATGAATCAGCACATCGTCAACAATACAGACGACACCTGGTAGACCATCAAGGGCTTGAATCAACTTCTTTTGGAAGATTTCTGACGACACAGAAAGTCCAAATGGCAACCTGAGAAATTGATAACGACCAAACCAAGTTTGAAAGGTCGTAAGAAGACTTGACTCCTCATCGAGTTGGACATGCCAGTATCCAGATGACAAGTCAGCTTTTGAGAAAACTTTCGACTTCCCTAGCTCATGTAGGGTATCTTCAAGCACAGGCAGAGTGTAATGCTCTCTACAAAGGGCTTTGTTTAGTTCTTGCGGATCCAAACAAATTCGAAGTTCACCTGATTTCTTTTGCTTAATTGCGATTTGGTTTACCCAGGGGGTTGGCTCATTGATGGGCGCAATCACACCTAACTTCTCCAGTCTGTCTAACTCAGTGTTCAACTTTGAGCGCAGGGCAACAGGAACACGATGGTTTGGCATCACAACTGGTCTCACTGCACTATCAACTGACAGATGAACAACACCACTAAAAGTACCAAGTTTACCATCCAGCACATCACTGAACTTTTCAGTAACTTCAATATTGGCAACACGCTCAATATTCTGCTCATGAATTGTGACTAAGTTCATGAGTGTAACAGTTTTGACACCTAGAAGAGGTGCAAAGTTCTCTTTCACAACAACAAATTCAACAGAATACTTTTTTCTTGTTAGCAGGATTCTGAACAAGAATGTTTAGGCAACCAAGAGGAGTGACGTCAGTCTCATTCCACATCTTCAAATTTTTAGTTGTAGGTTTCAGACTCTTCAACTTGTCCTGGACAATAGAAGACGGAATGATATTAACAGCAGCACCAGGATCAATAGTGAAGACGACATCTCTTCCCTCCACGGTCATTCTACATTTAGCAGGCTTTGCTGTATTGTTTCTTACTGGGACACTTTGGTGCAAAATGATTCAGCTGGTGACACTTCGTGCACTTTTTTCCCCATGCAGGACAACTTTTACGAGCCATGATATGAGAATAACCACAGAATTTACAGTCTCTTTCATGCTGAGATTGGGGTCTCTGACTTCTTGATGGAGAATTCATCTTTCGACTTGAACGAAGAGGCTTCTTTTGCCTTGATCTCAAAGAGTCTATTGCAACTCTATTGATAGGTTCAGGTCTGATCAACTTTGACTGAACTGACGCATTTTCAGTTGCTTTACAGATGTCGATACATCTTTCTAGAGTGAGGTCCCTCTCTTTGAGCAGTGCTTGCTGAGTGTCGGGATCTCTTACTCCAAGGATGAGGCTATCTCTTATTATTGAAGAGATACAATTCTGACAATAGTTGCAGGTTTTCACAAGAGAATGGATTGATCCTAAGAAATTTTCAAATGTCTATCCTTCCTTCTGTTTTCTGAGATTGAAGACGTCTCTCTCATATGTCTCATTAACTTCACCAATAGTAAATGCTTCGAATTTGTCTAGAATTTCTTTGACAGTTCTCTCAGCTTCTGGTGTTTGAAAATGGAATCCATTGAAAACTTTTAAGGCTTCATCACCAAGTGTGTTTAGGAGCAAAGCTACTTGATATTGCCTTCCATATCCTGGCAGGTTCACAAGTATAGAATAATTGGTCCATTTCTGTTTGAATGTTTTCCAATTTTCAGCAATGTTGGATTCAATAACAAGGGGTGATGGAGGTTTTATACCACTAACAGGCCATTGAGCTTGAGGAGGATTGTCGACCATATTTGCAGACTTGAAGCAAGGCTAGACTATCTTCACAGACATTACACACTTGTAGCTAGTTGACATCGACAAATGCAGACAGGAATCTCTCGAGTGTGCAGAATGTCACTTATCAGGTCAAATTAAGCTAATAGATTCAAGTGTTCATTCATTTCAGCGAGTGACATTTGAATGATAGCAGACGAACGCACGTGGTCTGAAACACCTCGGCTTCCATTATAACATTTCAGACATAAAACTGACATAAATAGGTCGTGGTATCATTGAGGAGTGAGAAAGTCACCTGCTGCCACCATGTTACGTGCTGTGTATGCTGTACACATGTCTGGTTAAAGCATCAGCGTTTATTCAATCTCTAACACAAATGAGTTCTCTGTCAGAGTTACGACAGGTATCGTAACTCTGAACGATCTGCGACAGGTTTACGATAGTTTCGAAAATCTATCTTATCTTAGCTTTAGATATCTTATCTTTGCACGTAAGTTGTTAAGATTTATCTTAGCTAAGATCGTTTCGAAAATCTAGGCCCTGTTCCCTTTTGTCCTCCACCAACAGCTGACATTACTCATGAAGTCCTCCAGGGACCGGTTGATCTTCCATACTGTTGATTGTGCCAATGCAGTCTTGAATAGCTGACATTGCAATTGGCAGTATAATTGTTCTTGTTTGTAGTTTCAGACTGAGTAATGTAATTTCCCCAAACATGTCAGCCATAAAATGAGCAAATGCTGCGAACTTTAATGTTTCATTTGCTTGTGGAATTTTTTGCCTCTACTCTTTATATCAGTATTCTTGCTGGCTGCTGCCAAGCTCTCCATGTGAGTACAAACTGCTGTGTACTGAACATTGTCGCTGGCAAGATTCCCATCCTTTTTTCATTGAAGGAATAATCGCAGAGCCCTGTCAACATGTGGAACCAATCTTGATCCTTTGAAAAGTGTGGCGCTGTAAATTCTAGCATCCATTTCATAACCGACCATTCTCAGTTCCCTTTTACTCTTAGGACTAAAGTGGTAGGTTTCCAGATTAAATGGAGACAATCACTAACTACTTCAATCATGGGACTTTCTCTGTGGAGTTTCATGATCAGTGCTAATTCCACTCGATGGAAGTCTATCAGATGAGGGGCAATCTCTCTGAGTTTAGAAACCACACCTTTTCTCTGACCAACATTCACGGATGCCCATCAGCACAAAAGCCAATAAGTTTATTTTCAAAATGTTCTTGGCCATTGGCTAAAAGTGCAACTTTAATAGCTGATAACACACCACCAGGATGGGCATGTTCAAGTTGTGTAAGTTCAAGTTACTTGTTTTCAGGCACACCATTCTTTACAATCCTTGCATAATTAACTTCGTTTTCTGAAACCGAGCTGTCTGTAGCCCCATCGATCATCAATGAAAAGTAATTGACTTCATCTAATGTTTTGGATGGTTTTGCTGTAATTGTACTTGTCACTGTTGATATTTCTGCACATTTCACGTCATTGGCATAGATGTGTGTAATGAGGAGACCATTCTTTTTATGTACTATTAACAATGGTTTAAATTTTGTTGGTTGGTTGGTTTGCTGTTTAACGCCGCACTCAGTAATATTCCAGCTATATGACGGCGGTCTGTAAATAATCGAGTCTGGACCAGACAATCCAGTGATAAATATCATGAGCATCGATCCACGCAATTATGATCGATGACATGCATCAACCAAGTCAGCGAGCCTGACCACCCGATTCCGTTAGTCGCCTTTTACGACTAGCATAGTCGTCTTTTACGGCAAGCATGGGTTGCTAAAGACCTATTCTACCCCGGATCTCCACAGGTATTAAACTTTGTAAATGACAATTCTCCACCAACGCAATATGCCGTGTTGAATTTTATTTTCAGTTCTTCACTTTTTTTATCAGTTTCTGTATCCAGTGCACGACATTGTTGCGCAATAGCGGATTGAGATATGGAAGTTTTTGTCTACTGCATAAAACATCGTCTCTGCACTTTCTATGTCGTAAAAAATCACTTTGTGCTCTAATATTCTCCCGCTTATACTTCTGACTACCATTCACGAAATCAGTATTTCCAGCTACACATGCGTGTCTGCAAAAATAACAAAACATTCTATCTGACGTTTTGTGGTATCGCAACCAGTCGAAGTCTAGCAACCACGACTCCTTAAACACACGTTGAACACGTTGTGATTGAACATTCTCGACTTTTGGTTTCTTTTCTGGGGTGACAGGTTTATCAGTTGCGTTTGATGTTTCAGTCACGTTAACGATGTACGATGTAATTTTTCGTTTTCCTTTTAATTTACCTTTCAAATTCACAAGAGTCGCCATGTTTGGGCGTCTGCTAACGCAAGGGATTGTGGGAAACCTTTTATCCATACTCTGAGAACGACATTGCGTGGCTGGATAATTTGAAATGAACTAGAGTTACTTCCCTTAGAAATAATCATCGGTAAACATCGCTTTTGTCGATAGTTTTGCCGACTAACTCATTACTGCATTTCGAAAAGAGCTAAAAGAATAATTACTGACCGGTAATATAGCCAATTATACCTTAAATTCATGATTTTCCGTACTGGCAAAGAGATAAGTGCTGTAAAATATTTCGTTGCAAATCACTCGCAACTTCGAGCCCTGCGTCTCCACCATGATTGTGGCGAGTTGATACCAGCATTATGTAATAACACTCACGTATGTATCTTCTAGATCTAAGTTTATTTTCCTTAAATCTTACAAGAAAATGCCTCTCCAAGGGTGCCGCCTTGTTATGATATGACCTTCTCGCAAATGAACTTTTGCTTGATCTCACAAGACATGTCTTCCAAACAGAAGCCGCCGGCGTTATTTATGCTGCCGCAGCCAATGCCCGTTAAGTCGGGTTTCCCCCAACACCAGGCCCACTTACTGAATTCTGAAGAGCCATCAACCCACTTGTAATTCTGATTATTTAACGCAGAGAAGCCAATGTAATAGTCGTTGGAGGAGTCCGCTGAAATAATAAGACAATCAGAATTGGCCAGATGTGAAAACAAAAGGATAAGTACATATCGATTATCCAATATATTATCTCTCTATTTTGTCTCTCTATTCTGTTTTGATAAATACCCTGGGCCCACACGTGATCATTTCGTCACGGAAGTGACGTCACCAACTTTTGTAGACTCCGACTCAGGACAGACGTTCTCCCGCTCACGAGAATGTTATTCGACTTGGAGAATGAGCCCAGGGTATGTATCAAAATTAAATACAATATAAATCGTTGATAATCGAGGATTGGATATGGTAGTTAGGCAACAAATATTTGAAAAATGTCCCCCTGGTTGACAAGAAGCCAGCAACAGCACTCGGCGTCCAGTGAGTGTAGTCACTTCTAAGGACACAGTGAGTGAGTGAGTGAGTTTGATTTTACGCTGCTTTTAGCAATATTCCAGCAATATCACGGCGGGGGACACCAGAAATGGGCTTCACACATTGTACCCATGTCGGGAATCGAACCCGGGTTTTCAGCGTGACGAGCGAACGCTTTAACCACCAGGCTACCCGACCGCCCGCCTAAGGACACAGAAGACCTGAGGCCCTATTCTGTCTGGTTAGTCAGAGTAAGCGCTACACAATTTATCGTCAGTTCCTTTGAGGTTACCACACCCTTGCCATACGTTTTCGTTGAGTTCCGTTAAACGTATAGCCGTACAATACAAGGAGAAACAAACTTTGAAAGACAACTTTGTCTGCCAGAGAATCAGAACAGGTTCTTACACAATTCAAAGTTTATATAAGAGTTCAGGTCGTTGTGCTTCTGAAATGCGTTGACAATGTAGAAACGATACTGTGGACCAATGGCCTCACACCAAGCTTTGGCCTCGATCCATAAAGCTTTGACATCATGTGCAGCGTATATACAAGTGGCAGGACCGCTCCGGTACGACCATGGCGATTCACAGCTGGTGTCTGCAACATCAATGTTAAAAACCTTTATGAGCTGTGAGATGAAAGAAATGAGCATATCACAGAAAGTTGTATTGCAGGACGGATTTAATAATCGCTTCATAGACACAACTCTTGGGGGTTCACCATTGAATTTTTTACAGGTTTGTGTGTGTGTGTTAGATCCAGGATATTAATTTGTATCTGCTTCACAACATGCAACTTTCTTCTGGTTTAATGTGCAGTGTTATAGACGGGGAAGGTGGTTTTGTGTACATTGATAGGTTATAAACTGTGGAGATGGTTAAGAGTGGGTGATTGAGTTAAAATTTAAATCACATGGGCAAATTTTCAGCCATATCGTGACTTTCAAAGGTAATATATAATAAATGAGATGGTTAAGAAGAGGAAGAGGAGGAAGAAGAAAAGGAAGGAGAGAGAAGAAATTATATATATATATATATATACGCTCGCAATAAAGTTAAAGCCACAAATACTTATGTTATCCGTCCTTTCATGTTCTTTTAGTGTCATTCATTGGCCGAAACAAGAAATTCACGGTATTGACACCTTCACACGAAGAATCATGTCAGACAATGAATCCCACCACCCTCGCTCTTCCCTCAATCGCTTATTTTTACTAATCATAATTGGAGTGCGTGGTTTGATTAACGTGCACACATCTATTTGTCATATGATCCTCTTGTGAAGCATGACAAGACTCATGATGAAAACAAGGCATTCCACGGATTTTGGAAACGAGCCAAAGATGTGGGACATAATCGCAATGTCAATGTTGTGTTTGTTGATGGTTCTGTACTGCTGGACGGTGCGGAAATGAGTGTCAACCAAAAGGAGCGCCATATCATATAAGCCCAGGCTCAGTTTTTCAAGGAGAGGCTATCTGAACGACCACTGCATCGAGTTCATATGCAGAGTGTTGAGATGTACAGCAACCTTGGAAAGTCCTTCGCTTGGATGAATTATTTTGCCCTGAAAAGTGGAACAGGATTTCTGTTTGCTTCTCAGAACCAGTCACTTCCCACTTGAAACCGTCAATGTGTGATTTTGCATCCGAATGTAAATATGATATGTAGAATACGCAATGAACTTAATGAGACTGTCCATCACATTTTCATGGGATGCCCAATTTTGGCACAAACATGGTAACTTCAGCGACATGATTGAGTGGCTCGATCCTCTTAATTCCGATTTCGCCGCCATGCTTGTGTTTTGGACACAGATATCCATCCATGGTACGACCCAGAGTATGTAGAGGGCGCCATGCTTGTGTTTTGGACACAGATATCCATCCATGGTACGACCCAGAGTATGTAGAGGGCGCCATGCTTGTGTTTTGGACACAGATATCCATCCATGGTACGACCCAGAGTATGTAGAGGGCGTCATGCTTGTGTTTTGGACACAGATATCCATCCATGGTACGACCCAGAGTATGTAGAGGGCGCCATGCTTGTGTTTTGGACACAGATATCCATCCATGGTACGACCCAGAGTATGTAGAGGGCGCCATGCTTGTGTTTTGGACACAGATATCCATCCATGGTACGACCCAGAGTATGTAGAGGGCGCCATGCTTGTGTTTTGGACACAGATATCCATCCATGGTACGACCCAGAGTATGTAGAGGGCGCCATGCTTGTGTTTTGGACACAGATATCCATCCATGGTACGACCCAGAGTATGTAGAGGGCGCCATGCTTGTGTTTTGGACACAGATATCCATCCATGGTACGACCCAGAGTATGTAGAGGGCGTCATGCTTGTGTTTTGGACACAGATATCCATCCATGGTACGACCCAGAGTATATAGAGGGCGCCATGCTTGTGTTTTGGACACAGATATCCATCAATGGTACGACCCAGAGTATATAGAGGGCGTCATGCTTGTGTTTTGGACACAGATATCCATCCATGGTACGATCCAGAGTATATAGTGGGCGCCATGCTTGTGTTTTGGACACAGATATCCATCAATGGTACGACCCAGAGTATGTAGAGGGCGTCATGCTTGTGTTTTGGACACAGATATTCATCCATGGTACGACCCAGAGTATATAGAGGGCGCCATGCTTGTGTTTTGGACACAGATATCCATCAATGGTACGACCCAGAGTATGTAGAGGGCGCCATGCTTGTGTTTTGGACACAGATATCCATCAATGGTACGACCCAGAGTATGTAGAGGGCGCCATGCTTGTGTTTTGGACACAGATATCCATCAATGGTACGACCCAGAGTATGTAGAGGGCGCCATGCTTGTGTTTTTGACACAGATATCCATCCATGGTACGACTATGTATATGTAGTGGGCGTCATGGAAAATGATTAATACAACATTATTTTGAATAGCCCCGTATTCAGCCTCAGACCTGTCCAATCCATTTTTATCATTTTATTAATTTGCTGTCCCTTTTGACACTGATGTGAAGAAAATTGTTCTTTAATAGTTGTGAAATGTTGACACCGCAGGCTGGAGCTCTTGGAATATTGCTCGACATAAATGGAAATTCATCCCTCTTGTGATACAGTCTTGTGTAGAAGGGCACAACTAACTATGACATAGTCTGTCGCGGCCTGTAAAACGCTGAAAGAAGTGTCGAAAATGTTTTAATGCACTTGTTTTGACTCAAAAGAAACTTTCGTCAACACATTTCAAATTTCACCTGACTGTGAAATTATCGGATCTGCACGCACACATACACCTCTCTCTCCCTCTCTCTCTCTCTCACACACACACACACACACACACATACACAGACACAGACACAGACACACACACTATGAAATTATCGGTCCTCCATTCCGCCTCTCCTCCACTCACCTTCGACCCCCGATGTACCTATGCTGCTCAGAGCATTTTCTAAGTCACCAATACGTGTTTCCAGGCCATCTACAACAGACTGGCTCACTTGGTCCGTATTCTGTTCTGAAACATAGATTCACATAATATAGAATAGCGCTGTCTGGTAATAAAAGTATATTTAGAAATCTAAAACTGAGACCATTGTACGAGTCCGATTATAGAAAAAGGGCGTGTTTATGATTCGCTATCAAAAAGTGATGATAGAAGCTGTTCGCGAAAAGGTGAGCATATCCTACCCCTCCGGTGGCACTTGTCCCCAACACATCCAAAGGAAATTTAAGTGTTCACATGAACAAACAAGTCAAGATGGGGGATTGCATCGGATATAAGACTGGTCATCCGATGCGTCAAATGACCAGAACGAGTTTCTACCATAAAACCTTTGAAAGCTTACGGAGGCCTTGGCTGCTGAAACCACGAACAAACAAGTTTTGATCGTATCTCAAAAGTTGTGAAATGTTGTTAAAGTTGATTAAAGTCAGATTGGTTACAGACGAGAGTCTGTGGAATAATTGGTTTTGGAACCTGAACTTTGTAGCCTTGCAAGCAATATAGCATCCTAAAAACATTATAAATGGTTATTAATTGTTGAATAAAAAGATGAATAAAACACCGAAATTCGATATTCCTTGTTGTTTAATAAATAACGTCAACGTCAATGCCAACGTCAGTGTCAACGTCAACGCTAGAGAATAATCAGTCTCGATTATCCGACGAAACAGATTCCATTGGGCGCAAAAGTCAAAATAGTAATGAAGATTATACGGATGGTTGACTGAAATCAGTGATGACACCATGTGTTAGCGAACACCAACATATACAACACATTGTCCAGCTATATCAAAGTGACATATAAATAATCGAGTCTGCGCCAGGCAATCCAGTCAAGAGGATCCCTCCCACATAACATGTACGAGTACTCTAACGTGAACATCTGGACAGCCGTCAGTCATTAATACGTTTTGAAAACCAATAGAACCATCTATCTGCAGAGGGATATTACCCTGGTTTCGGCCTGCTGATGACATTTGTTACCAATGACATCTCCAAAAAAGGCTGTGAAGTCACACAATTGTGTGAGGGAATAAGGTTTGACACTGCTTTGAAACTTTTTGCAGTTATATGTCATGTCGGTTTCTTGTTCGGGGAAAGGGCTGCCGATGTTTTAAAGGTGTTTACGTTTTAATTGAAACCAAAGAAAATGGCTACAGTGCTGACAAACCAAGAAGCATAACAAGAGGAAGTCTGGGATTTGAAACCATGAAAATACGATTCTGACAGTCCACTAGCAGAAAAGCCAACTAGTATTCCTCGTGCAAGCACTTGTCTTGAAGTGTACATGTCTGTGCAAGTGCGAGTGTAAGTGCAAATTTGTTTGTTTGTTTGTTGTTTAATGCCGCACTCAGCAATAGTCCAGCTATATGACGGCGGTCTGTAAATAATCGAGTCTGGATCAGACAATCCCGTGATTGACATCATGAGCATCGATCCATGCAATTAGGATCGATGACATGCATCAACCAAGTCAGTGGGCCTGACCATCCGATCCCGTAAATCGCCTTTTACGAAAAGCATAGTCGCCTTTTATGGCAAGCATTGGTTGCTGAAGATCTAATAAATCCCGGATCTTCACGGGTCAAGTACAAATGTGAATCTGAACAATGAGTAGCAAACATCTGTCATTTAAAGTTACTGAACACTTTTGTTTATACGATTATGATAGTCTAAACATATTCCTTGTTCTCATACACAAATAAGTTCACCATTCTGTTGTCAAACAGGGTATAATGAGAAACCAGTATATGTATATTACCTAAAACAGTTTGGTGGAAATCCAGACTACCGTCATGGAAATAGCACCAGTTATGTCTAGTAATATCACGGCGCGTCAGCTTAATGTGGGAGGAAAGCCCGAAGTGATGCAGGTCTCAGACGTTAACCGCTTTGGTGAAACCCACGAGCACGGGTATGGTGCTAACAAACCTACAAACATAATCGGGGCGAACCGGGATTCGAACCCACAACCATAGATTTCAGGCGAGCACAAAGGACGCAACTCTGCACAGTGCCCCTAACATCATTTTAAGTTACCTAGAGGCATAGGACTCATGTATACATGACTCTAGTGGGAATATTGTGGCAATTCAGGAAAATGGTGGGTTTGGGTTGCGGTCTAGTTATGTATCTACACATTACTAATCAGAGTTTATTCAGAGATTTCACGTTTATATAATGTGTGTGGCAACATGTGAGAATCCATACCTTCAGCTGAAGCAATTCGTCCTTCCAGGTTGCCGATGCTAGTTTCTAGCTCTACAAGATCTGATGATAAGGCCGCGCTGGCTATGCTGTTGGATAGGTCATTGATCTGAGCTGAAACGAAAACAAAGCCAGTAAAAGTTGGAACACTGTTCGGTGGTCTGTTGTCCAATAAAATGCAATTTTCTTTTTGACAAAGCGGCTTTTTCGCTATTTGGCAATCGGGAAAGAAAATAGTTTGGGTAGACTTGATCAAAGCAGCTGCGGTTCTTGTGGTTCTTGTGGTCCGCTCGTCACGCCGAAGACCCGGGTTTAATATCCCACATGGGTTCAATGTATGAAGCCATCGTCGTGACATTACTGGAATATTGCTTAAAGCGGCGTAAAACCATACTCACAGACTATTAATGCCTTGTTTTATTTTCGAGTCAGTAAGAACCCGTTCTCTTACATTTGTTCATTTTGTCTTCAAACAGGAATAGAATGAATTAAAACTTACTGTTGTAGCCCGTCACCTGGTTCTCCAGCGCCGCCAATGAAGATTCCAGACCTTGGAGCGTGACAACCTTACCGTCGACTGAACAAGAAGAAGATAGTAAATTGACGGAGATAATACTAGGTACTATTATCTGCACTGCGAGGCGAGGTGAAATAGGGTTTAACGTCGCGTCCAAGATTATTGCACTTCTATAGCGACGTGCATGTACATGTGTGTGTGTGTGTGTGTGTGTGTGTGTGTGTGTGTCTGGCTGCTTTTACTAGTCCGGACTGATGCCGATGTTTAGTGCTAGCCCACTGAGATACCATGCCGCAGTTTAACATGAATACCCCACTCAGACACAGTGTACTGACTCCGAGCCGACCAGTCCTTGTTTTAGCCCCTTAATGCCGAGCTCCAGACAGGATAACAACAAGTACCATCTTTTAACGTCTTTTCGTATGACGCGGCCGGGGATCGAACCCCGGACCTTCCGCTCTCCGGGCGGACGCTCTACCACCAGACCACGGAGGCGATCCTGCTGTGAGTCCCATGACTTAACCCTAAAAGACGTAACAGTCTACTCTACAGCGTGCACTGCAAATTATTTAGAGCTGGGGGCATGAGTGACGTGTAAGACGCCGCAATTCGCAGAGTTGCGTCCCTTAGTCGTGCCAGAATCCGATGATCGTGGGTTCGAATATTAGAGCCGCCCTGATAATCTTCGATTGAATCTTCGAAGGAACAACTGGATCCTGACACTTCTTAAGGGACGCAACTCTGCACGTCGAATATCATAATCTTACACCAGCAGTACTTGGCGGCACTAGGGAAACCTTCTTCGTGTAAACTGTATAGGAATCTATGATCTCACTGAAATACTGTTCAAAGTGGCTTTCAACCAAACACATGACCTATGGAAGCATTTTAGGGCCTCTTGTTTGGGTTCCTTTTTCCTTGAAATTTATAGATAGTAAGTTGAAATTTAAAGATGCTCTGCTGAAATTTTAAAATACTTAGTTGAAATTTCAAGATCCATACGTTGTACTTTCAAGTTAAAATCTTAAAATTCAACTTCTTGTCTTGAAATTTCAAGATCATTATCTTAAAAGTTCGACTTTGTATATACCTTGAACTTTCAATTCAGTATCTTGGAATTTTAACATGGGATCTTGAAATTTCAAATTAATATCTAGAAATAACAAGAAAATATAAAACAGTAATGGCCCTTATTGCCCTGTCACACTAAACGTAAGGCAGTCACGTATGGCGACGTATGAGATTTTTTGCTAAAACGCCGGCAACGCTGAAACACGCTATGGTTAAGTTAGGTGTAAGTTAAAAGCACGCTGGTATACGTTGTGGTACGTCGAGGGTTAAAAACATTTTTGTGCATGCACAACATTTTCGGCGTAAGCGAACGGATGAATTATACGTTAGGCATACGTTAGAGGTACGCTCTACATGCTTTTACATACGCCAGATATACGTAACCCATACGCTGATATACGTCGACATAAGTTGGATGAGGTGTACTGTACACCTAACGTATTGATAACGTATGCGTAACTTACTTCTAACGCATGACTAACGTATGCATCCAAAGTATATGGCATATTAGACGTATGTCTGACGACAGTATAACTTATTAAACGTGTTTCTAACGTTCAGCTAGCGTAGTACAGGCATTGGGGTGGGGTGGGGGGGGGGGGGGGTGGGGGGGTGGGGGGGGGGCGTTGTACATATTGGGTCCCGATCAGTACCTCCTCATCACTTCTGATGGAGACATCATAGAAGATGGAGGTGAAGGATTCTGAGAGACTGCACCAAGACGAAATAGCCATTCTCCAACATCAGCATGATATCCTCCAATTGACACTTTACCAGATACGTGAAAATAGGAGGAGGAGACGAGGTCAACGGAGGAGGGTCTGGGTCAGACCATGGATCGGGAGGCGACGGCAGTTTGGCTTGTATGACCAACTTCTGGTGGAACTCCGTAACGAAGACTTCATTCAGCTACAGGCTTTCCCGAGCCAGGAGGGTAGTAGAAAATGCCTTCGGCATCCTTGCCAACAGATTCCAAGTTTTGCTGATTACCATGCAGTGTGTCCCGTCCACCATCAAACTCATCGTCAAAGCTTGTATGGTCCTGCACAACCTGATGAGGATCCGGTACCCTGGACTACAGAACACTGCAACACAACACTCCAAAACTGCCTACTTCTTCGCTGAAGGTGAGCGTGTCCAAGTCCGGGTTTGCCACATCCATCCCAGGGCAGGGGACATGTAAAGTAGTCCTGAAAGTCCGCAGTTGTTAGAGAGAGGCTTGGTAAGCTGCTTCCAATTCTACTGATTACATCCCAAAGCCGCTGACACCAAAGTGGGAGTGTTTTGCGCTGCTGGTGGAGCACATGTGAGGAAGGGGGGAGGGGGGGGGGGGGGGGGGCAAGAATGGTTTCATCCTCAGTCTGTCAGTCTGAAGGCGCTCCGCTCGGTGAGGGGCTGCTGGTGGGACTTGATGATGCTCTTGGGTATCTCACCAGACTCGTGGACTCGCTTCTGGAGTGACTGCAGGAGGTCGCTTGCCTTGGCGCTCTGCGGATGTGGAAGCGGATGGCGTGATGTCACCATCCTTAAGAACAACTTGCTGTTAGGCGCAGGCAGCCTCAGCAGCATCTAGGTCACCCGCATGCACCTCAATAGTGACCTTGACACTGGAGCAGGGTTCAGGACGGTGTCTGGTCACAGTCTTTAGGAACCCGAACCTGGCCTTGATCCAAACGTCACGCTCGGTCATCTCAGCTGTACCATCCCCACTCTTCTTCTTATCCAGGCTTCGCTCGTCACGCCGAAGACCCGGGTACATTGTGTGAAGCCCATTTCTGGTGTCCCCCGCCGTGATATTGCTGGAATATAGCTAAAAGCGGCGTAAAACAATACTCACTCACTCACTCTTGTCCAGGCGACGAACTCCAGCATGGTCCTTTCCTCTGGCAAAGTCAAGCAATACACAGTCATTTTGGCCCTCTTCTTCAGAAAAGTGAGGGCGTGAGGGCGAGCGTACGGCTCCCTCCGCAGGAGCTTCAACAGCTCCCTCCACAGGAGCTTCTACAGCTCCCTCCACAGGAGCTTCTACAGCTCCCTCCACAGGGGCTTCTACAGCTCCCTCCACAGGGGCTTCTACAGCTCCCTCCACAGGAGCTTCTACAGATCCCTCCACAGGGGCTTCTACAGCTCCCTCCACAGGAGCTTCTACAGCTCCCTCCACACGAGCTTCTACAGCTCCCTCCACACGAGCTTCTACAGCTCCCTCCACACGAGCTTCTACAGCTCCCTCCACAGGGGCTTCTACAGCTCCCTCCACAGGAGCTTCTACAGATCCCTCCACACGAGCTTCTTCAGCTCCCTCCACACGAGCTTCTACAGCTCCCTCCACACGAGCTTCTACAGCTCCCTCCACAGGGGCTTCTACAGCTCCCTCCACAGGAGCTTCTACAGATCCCTCCACACGAGCTTCTTCAGCTCCCTCCACACGAGCTTCTACAGCTCCCTCCACACGAGCTTCTACAGCTTCCTCCACAGGGGCTTCTACAGCTTCCTCCACAGGAGCTTCTACAGCTTCGTCCACAGGAGCTTCTACAGCTCCCTCCACAGGGGCTTCTACAGCTCCCTCCACAGGGGCTTCTACAGCTCCCTCCACAGGAGCTTCTACAGATCCCTCCACACGAGCTTCTTCAGCTCCCTCCACACGAGCTTCTACAGCTCCCTCCACACGAGCTTCTACAGCTTCCTCCACAGGGGCTTCTACAGCTTCCTCCACAGGAGCTTCTACAGCTTCGTCCACAGGAGCTTCTACAGCTCCCTCCACAGGGGCTTCTACAGCTCCCTCCACAGTGGCTTCTACAGCTTCGTCCACAGGAGCTTCTACAGCTCCCTCCACACGAGCTTCTACAGCTCCCTCCACAGGGGCTTCTACAGCTCCCTCCACAGGAGCTTCTACAGATCCCTCCACACGAGCTTCTTCAGCTCCCTCCACACGAGCTTCTACAGCTCCCTCCACACGAGCTTCTACAGCTTCCTCCACAGGGGCTTCTACAGCTTCCTCCACAGGAGCTTCTACAGCTTCGTCCACAGGAGCTTCTACAGCTCCCTCCACAGGGGCTTCTACAGCTCCCTCCACAGTGGCTTCTACAGCTTCGTCCACGGGAGCTTCTGCAGCAGATGCAGGTATGGTATTCTTGGCTCTTGCTCGTCCCCTGGCAAGTTTCTTCTTCTTGGGAGGAATCTTGATGATGTTGACAGAGCGAAGACTGCTGCTTGAATGAAGTAATTTGATGAATGGCTGTACACTGCTAGTTATACTACCGCGGGGGCCGTTTTAGGCACCTTTCCCCTACGCAGAGCGCGCTAGTTATACGTTTCTCATACGCCAGACACACGCTTGCAATACGCTTTTATACGCTGTCATATGCATGTATAAGCCAGTGATACGCTACTAATACATTAGACATGCGTTATATATACGATGAACTCGTAATGTATATGCTATGAATACGCCCAAATCATGTTTTTTCGATGAAAGCTCGACGTATGACGTACTGTCTTTTATACGCTAGGTGCAAGTTACCCTAAAACGTTGTTGTGTGACATGGCCATAAAGGGCTTCCGTATATACATGTTACTGATAAAGCAGATATTTGCACGAGTGAAATCATCAGATTTCCTGGCATTTTATCACTTTGGTGAAACCCAGGAGACACGAGTATGGTGCTGACAAACCACGCTCGTCCCTGTGTACTTACCATCTGCTATGGACTGGGTCAGGTGCTGCGGACAGTTGCAAGTTCATCCGTGACACTGGTGATTCTTGTACTCAAAGCCTCAATCTCAGGACTGTAATCAATGTCAGTGGCAGGTTCTGTAAATATTTGAGAATGAAGCAAAAAATTGAAATAGTTCATATTTACTTTAAATGTTCATAATACATCAGGGGCACGTTGGCCCAGTCGTCTAGGGCACGGCAATTCACTATGCAGAGTTGCGTCCCTTTTGCGTGCCAGAAACCTATGATCCCGGGTCGCTCTGATTGTGTTTTTTAGATTTGTAGAGCTGACACGTCGTAATTTGAGCGAAATACTGTACAAAGCGACGTTAAATAAAACAACAACATCAAATGACGTCATAGTCTGAAATTTATTACTGCTCTATATCCCGTTGATGCTAGCGAACGCCGGGTTCAACTAGCCAGTATGAAGATTTTGTCGTCTTTCGGGTTAGTTTTCACAAAATAAAAAAGCAGGTACCTCATCTGATGCAGGTCATCATTAACGACGTTATGCGTAACGTCGGGCCAGCCTTTTACAACTATACGTCAACACCAGGGAATAACCAGGCTCGATTATCCACCGAAACAGATTCCATAGAAGTCAAAATAGAGGTGAAAATTATATGAATGGATCACTGAAAATCAGTGATGACACCAGGTCTCCGCGAAATGGGTTAGCATGTCCTGCCCTAACAAAATCACTCACCGACCGCCTCCGTGGTCTAGTGGTAGAGCGTCCGCCCGGAGAGCGGAAGGTCCGGGGTTCGATCCCCGGCCACGTCATACCAAAGGACGTGAAAAGATGGTACTTGTTGTCACCCTGTCTGGCGCTCGGCATTAAGGGGCTAAAACAAGGACTGGTCGGCTTGGAGTCAGTATACTGTGTGTGAGTGGGGTATTCATATTAAACTGCGGCATGGTATCTCAGTGAGCTAGCACTATAAATGGGCATCAGTCCGGACTAGTACAAGCAGGCACACAAACACACACATACACACACATACACACATACATGCACGTCGCTATATAAGTGCAATAATCTTGGACGCGACGTTAAACCCCATTTCACCCACCCACCAAAGGCACTCAACACTCAAAGTAAGTGTGTGTTTGTCCCTTGACGATTTTCAATATGGCCACCACAACAGCCATAATAATAAGATATTTATGACCATTACTCGGCCATTTTTATAAAAATGAAATGAAATTTTGTTTTGGTTTAATTAGTGTCGCGATTCAACACACATGTTCGTCTTCGTCAGCGGTATTTAAACTTCTCACCTCGTGTTGACCATGCCCTTTTAATTCCCTCAAAAAGCAAATTTGGCTGAACTTTAACATAATGTTTCTTCATATCATTTCATGTTTGTGTTAGTCGTCATTATCTATGCACAACATATTTGAATATCAAAGCTGACGGCAAGTTATGTTAAATGGGGCGCCTTTGATGACTCTTTTACTGTTGACTTCTTGACTCCCGTGACCTACACCTCGTGTTTAGGTCAGGCTTTGGCATTGTTCCAAATATGTAATTTAATACATGTTTGTTTCTTGCTGACGGGGTTTACCTCTTTGATTATGTGGACAAGGCGTCCGGATCAGAAGGTTCGCGGTTCGAATCCCATCAAGGAAATCGGAAATTTTATGCCGCGCTGGCGCCTAACGTGGAGCTGACCAAAATAAGACATATGCAAATCTTTAATGACATACTCGTCAAGTAAAATGGCAAATGGACCAAATCTGTTAGTGTTAACAGGCCACAGTTCGTCTGTGTTAACGGCACCCGCTCATCTCTTGGTCGCTCTTCTAAAAGGACCCTCAAGGTTGTATCATCTCGCCCATTATATATACTCGGCCGTTTTGTTAATTGTTTAACTGTAAAATATGCAGATGATTCAGAACTGGAGTACATAAATTGAATTTCTAATCTTATATCTTGGTTTTAGGATAATTGGCTATTTTTAAATGTCAAGAGAACAAAGAAAATGGTGAACATGAGGGAAAATAACGCATTATTAATCGAACTGTTATTATAATGAGGTATATGAAGTATAAATATCTGGGCATCATCATTGATTCAAAACTCACATTGGATGCAAATACAGAATATGTTGTAGTTATGGTGTCTTTAGTTGCCGTATACGGTGTCATATTAGGTTAGCCGAAAAAATATTGGGCGAGGCGTCACCGTTATTATGCCGAAAAGTTGACACTATTTGGTATGTTTATCGCACGTCATGTCAAAACTTTAAAACTCAATACTTAACACTTACAACTGAGAAATTTACCTAAGACGTTAAGGGTCAAAGGGAGACTACTCTCCAAACCTTGCTGACAATTTTAACTTTATATAATCTTTATCAGAGTCATGAAGGTGATCCGAAAAAACATTAACGTCCTTGCACATCAAAATTAATGATATGAAAACACAGAACAGTGTCGAATAACGAATTTCTGTACCGGAATTTTCATGTGAAATGTGTGATGTGGGTGTTCGAAAATCCAAAATGGCTGTTACGGTATACGGTCTCATATTAGGTCAGTAACAACTATCTTAGATTTTTACTGACGGCATACGGGCTCATGTGGGATCAGTAGTTCTGCTCTCTGATTGGTCAATCTCCCTTAAAAAATATATATAAGGGTCAGCAGAGGTTGTATTTCCTTCGTCGTTTAAGACATTTTCAGCATGACTCTACGATCATGTCAATATTTGATAAAAAAAATATATTTTAAGTTTTCACTAGTTGGTACAGGAGCCTGGTTGTTCGCAACAAAAACAAACTCCTCAAAATCTGTAAGATGGCGAATATAATCATTGGCTGCTCTCTCCGGGACATCGGCAGTATTCATGAACAGCAAATAGTTAATAAAGCAAATATAATATTTAATAAACTATTGACGGTGTACCAGCTTCCTTCTTCTGGCCTCCGACTACGATTGCCGATGCTGAGAACACGCAGGGTCCGGAATTCATTCAAACCAGCTAGTACCAGGTTATATAAAAGGTTTTTTTGATAAATAATTGTTCAGCATTTATTCGCTAGTGCCACACTAAATGTGAACTACGTTTGTGATGTTCTTAGTTATTAGTATGTGTGTTTATCAATCAGCTGGGTGCTGATGTAACCCACATTTCCTACGGTGAAATAAAGTGGTATCTTATATTATCTTATCTTACCACTGATAAGAGTTGCGTCCCTTGGACACGCCAGAAACCTATGATTGTGGGTTCGAATCCCGGTTCGCCCCGATTATGTTTCTAGGTTTACCAGCACCATACCCGTGCTCGTGGGTTTCACCGAAGTGGTTTACGTCTGAGACCTGCATCACTTCGGGCTTTCCTCCCACATTAAGCTGACACGCCGCGATATAACTGGAATACTGTTAAAAGCGGCGTTGAACCCAACTCACTCACTCACTCTTTTTCTTGAACAACATGTTATCAAATGGTTATAGTTACAGTGTTAAGCTACATTTACATTTTAGTTACCTAATTACAAACGTTTGGTATGCTTCAAACAAGGGTGGTTCTAATAACCTAGAAAAGACAGTCCTACTCGGTCCCACTTCCAATCATCTCAGGTGTTACGTCATCCCAAAACGAACTACGGAGCCCTGTTTAATTTTTTATCCCCATGTTATCCTCATTCAAACCGAGAAGGGTGTTTATATCCAACTTATAAACCTGATTGCAAGACATACCAGAAAGAATAAGACATCGGGGTACCTTATAATGAAACAATAGAGTGCGTCGCGTTATAAAAAGAGCTCGATGAAAGCACCTGCAGCTTGCACACAACTGAAGTCATGACATGTAGAATTGAACATCCGTTCATCATCTGCCCCGGTGGTTCAGTGGGAAAACAGTGGGTTACAAAACTAAACACGATATGTGAGGTTGCATGGAATTTTCATGTGGCAATATTGTGACTTTCAACCAATCAAACATCAAGATTAGATTTTTATCAAAATGCTTGTTTATAAAATTCAACTGTAAAATCCTGGTCTTACAATTCACGTAAAGGTGGGTAATTTCCTTTCGAATGCCCTGTGTATCCTGGTTAATGAATACATTCGCAGTTTATCAACACGTTAAAGAACCTACTCACCCAGTAATGTTACGTCACAATAGGTTTATAAGAGGTGAAATGGGGTTTAACGTCGCTTCCAAGATTGTTGCACTTATATAGCGACGTGCATGTACATGTGTGTGTTTGTGTGGCTGCTTGTACTAGTCCGGACTGATGCCGATTTATAGTGATAGCTCATTTTGCCCCTTAACAACAAGTACAATCTTTTAACGCCGTTTGGTATGACGCGGCCGGGGATCGAACCCCGGACCTTCCGCTCTCCGGGCGGACGCTCTACCACTAGACCACGGAGGAGGTCTAGGTTTATAAGAGTAGAGCAAGAACACTCTCACCTGTAGCAGCTGCTTGGGACTGCTGGATCACCGTTATGTCTGAGGTAATGGATGCAATCCTCGACTGCAGCGTACTCACATCACTCCCCAGTGTAGCGACATCGCCTAAGGAGGTGACGTTAAAACATTATGGACAAAACGAAGAGGTATATCAGTTATTATGAATATTATCGGGATTAATATTCAAATTATATGACGGTGTGTCAGCTTACTGTTTGAGTAAGTGCTGCAGATGATGTTAATACTTTGATGAAACCCTAGAGCACGTGTATGGTGCTGACAAACCACGAATCATATTCAGAGCGACCCTGGGATTTGAACCCAATATAATAGGATCCTTACAGCCTAAGGGACGCAACTCGACTGGACCACCCACAACGAAATTACACACTAATGTAATGTTATCGTAATGTGGAATTGCTGGAGACTAATGTTTAAAGTCGGTTGCTTTGTAGAATTAAATCAAATACTTAAATATGGTTTCCAAATAATCCCTCGCACCCTGTGAGGGTTTCGGATAAGAAGGTCCCCAGCAAGCTATGCTGGTCGTATAAAGGACTAAATTGGTCGGTGTTGACGTTCGGCGACCTGATTGATTGAGTGTCATCGTACGTGGGCTGCTTGTTCTGTCCGATTCGATTATTTTGAGGCCGCCGTCACTTAGCTGGAATATTGCAGAGTGCGGTGTTAAACAACAAACAAATAAAATCCTCTTTTGCAGTAACCTGAATATCTAGTTTGTGATTGGAAATCTTAGACTGGCCAGTGCAAGAATTCTAGTCCATGTTCACATAGTCCGCGGTTTCAGACACATGTAAAATAAACCATTAAAGACACAGAGCCGATGATGTTTCTGTCCATGTCAAGAGGGAAATCAAGTGAACTTACCCTCTGTTGTGTTGTGGGTGACGGTGAGGTTTGTAACGACATCTTCCAGTCCCTGCAAGAGTGTGTCCATATCTGCTATGGAGTCCTCCATCTGTGTTATCCTGGCGTGACTGCTGACTCTCTGTTTCCCAGTGGGCAATGCGAAGCCTGCATTTGGAAAAGGGAAAGCTCCAAATCCTCCTGAGCCAGTCGTAGACGATGTTTGGGAAGCTGTTACAGAAGGAGATGCTGCATCAGACAATAAAGAATCAACAATTGGAGTTAAGGCCGCCACATGGGGACGGCCTGCTAAAAGGCTACAGAGGCCAAGGATCAGCGTCTTCAGAGGCGCCATGTTTATTGTTGAATGCGGACACCTTAACGTTGCTTTCCGTTTCAAAAGCTCCAATATTCAGCTATCACCATATTGATCTGGACCATAGAAGTTAGTTGATACGTCAAAGAACTATCAGTTCTTTCATCTGTCACGATGTTGACACGCTGCCCTATGTGGGAGAAGTTTATCTGTCCAAGCTGACCGTAGAGCTGTCAGTTTTTCATTGAATCAATACCCGGGGGATTTTGAAGTCATGTGTTATCTACTTAGGAGCTTTCTGTAGACAATGAAAAGTCTTAGGGATATGTCATAGGGGCACACCTTTTGCACAAACCTCGTAAATGGCTCCCACCTGGAATTACAGTTCCTCAGACCCGTGAAGATCCGGGGTAGAATAGGTCTTCGGCGACCCATGCTTGCTGTAAAAGGCGACTATGCTTGTCGTAAAAGGCGACCAACGAGATTGGGTGGTCCGGCACGCTGACCTGGTTGATACATGTCATCGATCCCAATTGCGTGTATCGATGTTCATGATGTCTGTCTGGTCCAGACACGATTATTTACAGACCGCCGTCATATAGCTGGAATATTGCTGACTGCGGCGTTAATCAACAAACCAACCAACCAACCAACTACAGTTCCTCAAAGCTCAAAGAGGTTTTGAGCTCCCCAAAACAAGTCTTTAAAATGAACATATTTTACAGAAAAAAATCAAATTAATATTAAATTATATTTGTCTGTTTGTTTAGCGCCACCCTCAGCAATATTTCAACTGTATGACGGCGGGTTGTAAATAATCGGTCCAGTAAAGTTAGATGTACCCTTTATCTGTGGCCAAAATGTTTTTCATGTCCATAATAGTCTTTGAGTGAGTACCCATGAAGATAGATCCGGGCTAGTATTCGTCTTGAGCAACCCCCATGCTTTAGTCGGAGGAAACTGACGGAATCGGGTGGACTTGGTTGATGCATGCCATCGTATGCCAAATGATGCTCATGATATCAATCACTGGGTTCAACTCAAATAGAGTTTCTGAAAAATGACAATTAGTTGCTACTTGGAGTTTAAAAAACATTAGGTTCTAGATAACGCTGGAAAACATTCATTAATTTATTGTTTAGTGAACACACTGGATGTCCTGAATAATATTATGGTTAACCATGAATTCCGTCCACATGGTGAAGGGTACGTTATCAATATAACAAGGGCGGTATAACATCGTCATCATTTGACAACATATCTACAATGTCAATAACATCAATTATACCGCATTTTCGTTGAAATAGTTTAATAATTATTTATTTAATGCACATTGATACCTGACACTCGCTAGACTTGTACTGATTCAACTCATCATACAACTCATTTTATGTACAAGTCTCAACATATCAAAGACAGGAGAATTAGTATTGTTCAAGTCGTTCAAGTGTTAAAATTTACAGCTGGAATTACATAACGTCCCATAACGGCCGTACTATTTTCCTTTTGCGCCAAATGGAATCTGTTTCTGCAGATAATCGAGACGATTATTCTCAGGAGATATTATTATCCCAGTGTTTCCGCATCGTGATACGACCGCCTCCGTGGTCTAGTGGTAGAGCGTCCGACCGGAGAGCGGAACGTCCGGGGTTCGATTCCCGTGGTAGAGCGTCCGACCGGAGAGCGGAACGTCCGGGGTTCGATTCCCGGCCGCGTCATACCAAAAGACGTTAAAAGATGGTACTTGTTCTTACCCTGTCTGGCGCTCGGCATTAAGGGGCTTAAACCAGGACTGGTCGGCTCGGAGTCAGTATACTGTGTCTTAGTGGGGTATTCATGTTTAATTGCGGCATGATATGTCGGTGAGCTAGCACTATAAATCGGCATCAGCCCGGACCAGTACAAGCAGCCACACACACACACATGCACGTCGCTATGTAAGTGCAATAATCCTGGACGCGACGTTAAACCCCATTTCCCCTCAGTGTATCGTGATACGTAAGTATAGGAGAATGTCCGAAATCTCGCGATTATTTTCGCACGTGATCCATGAAGCTTGTTCGAGGCCGTTAGGCTGAGAAGAAGTTTCACGTGCGAAAATAATCGCGAGATTGAGGACTTTCTCCTACTTAAAACAAAGTTCGATCAAGTTAATGTCCCAAACTAATCTTCAAGTGATATTCACTATACTGTGCTATACTATGGGAGGGTGACCGCTCTTGTTTAACTAAAGGAGGGGAACCTTTCAAGGAAGACTATGGGACGATTAAGTACCCATACTCAAACTATTGGAGTGTTAGCAAAATGATTGCGTCTATCTAACTATCATTAAAGTTCACGTAACTTTTCTTTAACGTATGATAATTTTGGACAAAGTGTCACTTGAGTAATTGAGTGTAGACCCGTGAAGATCCGGGTTAGATTAGGTCTTCAGCAACCCATGCTTGCCGTAAAAGATGACTATGCTTGTCGTAAGAAGCGACTAGCGGGATCGGGTGGTCAGGCTCGCTGACTTGGTTGATGCATGTCATCGTATCCCAATTGCGTGGATCGATGCTCATGATGTCAATCACTGGATTATGACAGACCGCCGTCACATAACTGGAATAATGCTGAGTGCGGCGTTAAACAACAAACAAATATAATTTAACAAGTTTGAACTGTTTTTTATCTGTAAAATACATGTATGTTCATTTCAACAGACGTGCATGCACGGTGCTACATATAAGTGCAATATTGTTTTATGTTCACCCCATTTCCTCCCACAGTTCTATTATAACAAATGTCCTGGACACATTTGCTACATCAGCTAAGGTCGACGTCTGAGTCCGGTTCGAAAGAAAACAGAAATTGTCAGTCACAAAACATACTTTCTGGAAAGGTGTTATTTTTTTCAAAACAATAATTTAGGATCATAGTTTGTCCTAAAAAAATATCTGGTTTTGTAGCGAGGGATTCATAAAACATACTTTTGACCGGAAATGCATATGACTTTATTATTAGTGAGAGAGTTGGTTTTAACGCCGCTTTTAACAGACTGAGTATTACAGTTATATCACGGCGTGTCAGCTTATTGTAGGAGGAAAGCCCGAAGTGATGCAGGTCTCAGACGATTGCCACTTCGGGGAAACCCATGAGCACGTGTATGGTGCTGACAAACCTAGAAACATAATCGAGGCGAACCGGGATTCGAACCCACAATCATAGTTTCCTGGCGTGCCCAAAGGGACGCAACTCTGCACAGCGAATCGCGACGCCTTAGACGACCTGGCAACCCGTGGCCCCTTCTGGTTTTGTAACTAGCTGAAAATAGGTACCATATCTCGACGAAGCTGGTATGCAGGGAGTGTAGCTGAAACAGATCATCCTATTTGGTTAACAAAAATTAAAGTTGACAAACAAATACTTTTACAATTATCTCAAATGAATTCATCGCCTGCCTCCCTGCTTCATATTGTGTCTCGTCGTTTGTCCATGACACCCCATCTCCGACTAAAACTACGTTGCTTGTCGCATCACATCAGGTGCAATTAGGTCATGGGCAGGTCAGCGCGAGGAGCTTTCAATTGGTAAATCCGGGCATTTTGCAACAGACGCACGTGCAGGTAACAGATCGTTGATGTCCCCTGATGTGTGCGGTTGTGTAGCTGGTGCATTAAGAAGCAAGACGCTACGGTATGTTTTGTTTGTCTGCGTGGTCATTGAAGTACACTGTTTCCGCGAAAGTTTATTATTTTAGGGGAAGTTAGTGTTACATGAATGACCGTTTGAACCTGTCCGTTCAGCATACACACTCCATGAAACTTCATGATTAAAGCAATGATCGCTGCGCGCTTCTCGTGTCGGTAAAACGTCCGCCCGTAGCCCTGCCTCGAATTTAAAAAACCCGACAATATCTAGAAGCATTTAAGTAATTTATATTGGAAAAATTTGAAGCATGAGTTACGGGCTGAAATCTATCCCTCGTGTAGTGAGTGAGTGAGCTTTTAGCAATATTCCAGCAATATCACGGCGGGGGACAGAAATGGGCTTCACACATTGTACCCATGTCGGGAATCAAACCCGGGTCTTCGGCGTGACGAGTGACCGCTTTAACCACTAGGCTACCCGACCGCCCCTCCCTCGTATAGACTTCATTAGAAATATGAAATTGCATATTTTGAAACTACCAAACCCACCGTGTCTCCGTGAACTGTTTCGGGACCTTCCCCTAATATTGCATAATCAACTATTAATTCAAAACTTCGAAGCCCCAGAATAAACAAACAGTCTCGAGTATCTGTCGAAACAGATTCATTGGGCGTAAAAGAGAAAAATAGTGATGAAAATTATATGAACGGATCACTGAACATGAGTGATGACACCAGGTGTTCGCGACAAGGCTGTCCTGCTCTAATGGTAACACCTGGCACTCAAACGATTTGCATAAATATACGCTAGCTTGTTCCCTAACGCCGCACACAGCACTACACCTGCCGTACGACGGCCGGCAACCAAACGAGTCTGAACCAGGCAAAAAACAACCCTGTACATACAAATATAAATAATTTTAATCTAAATATATCAAAGTATCACCTTCAACAGAAAATTAGCTTAAACATTTGGGTCGTTCAAGATATAAACATTTTCCCAAATCCTGCAACGGAGGCCTTTTCACTATCCACCCAGGGAGATCTTAAATAAACTCCCCTCAACATACCCAATCGGAGTATTATAAACTTTTGACTATATTTAATTTAGGAAACGCATCCAAGATTCATTGTTAACTTCAAAATTTAAAAAACCCAATTGCCATCGCGAAACCTAACTACTGAAAATATTAAATTGACAGATTGTTTTTTGTTTTTTTTAATTGACTGAGCACACAATTTCCTTAAAAAAAATCTCCAAAAATATTCATGATCCCTAGCTTTTTTGTTCAGTATATTATACGGTGATTGGGGTACCAGGAACAAAAGCGTTTTGGAAAAAATACTCTCCGACTAACGTGATGGTTTCGACAGTACGACATGAAACTTAAATTGTTATTTTGTAAAAATCACTTGTCAATATGCGGCGTGGCACGTACCAGTGTAAGTGCAGGGTTGCGCCCAAGGAACCAATTATGACCGTTGTGTGTTGTGTGTTGGACATGGGTGATTGTATTGGGGGGTGTGTGGTGAGGGGGAGTAAATGAGTGGTGTGGGGTGAGTTGTTCATACTATATCCTGAGGTCCTCTGGGGGGAGAGGGGAGTACTCTGTGAAGGGTAATCTGACGCTGGTGACTTTAATACGATGTAGTAAACAATACCAAGACACTGCGCCATTCAGTTTCAGGACAGACATGGTTGCGGCGCACGCCCTGTTCACCCTTCTCTGCGCGGTGAGTGGACTTAGTTATAACTAGAGCTGTTTACTCCACGCATGTTTTGTATACATGTCTTGTGTATAAGGGGACCGCCTCCGTGGTCTAGTGGTAGAGCGTCCGCCCGGAGAGCGGAAGGTCAGGGGTTCGATCCCTGGCCGCGTCATACCAAAAGACGTTAAAAGATGGTACTTGTTGTTACCACGTCGCTATATAAGTGCTATAATCTTGGACGCGACGTTAAATCCAATTTCACCTCACCTTGTGTATAAGGGGCAGCCCCTTTGCTACCTCTTGCTTAGTAAAATAACTTGATGCATTTTTAATTTAGCTGAGTTAGATGTGAACAGTGTAAAGTCGTGAGACCCGTGAAGATCCGGGGTATGGCGACTATGCTTGTCCTAAGAGGCGACTAACGGGATCAGGGTAGCTGTCTTGGTTGATGCATGTCATCGTATCCCAATTGCGTTGATCAATGCTCATGATGTCAATCACTGGATTGTCTGGTCCAGACTCGATTATTTTTCAGAGCGCCGTTATATAGATGGACTATTGCTGAGTGCAGCGTAAACAACAAACAAACAAACACTGCCCATGAAACAGATGATAGGTCATGTGGGGATTCCGGGTTAGAATAGGTCCCCAGAAACATGTGCTGTCGGCAGAGGCGACCAGTTCGGTCGGGTGGACAGACTCGGAACAATCATGGTTTGTTTAACGCCGCACTCAGCAATATTCCAGCTGTATGACGGCGGTCTGTAAATAATCGAGTCAGGACCAGACAATCCAGTGATTGATGTCAAGCAATTGGGATACGATGACATGCATCAACCAATGCATACGCGAACCTGTCCTACCGTTTTCGTTCTAAGTCGCCTGTTACATGCATAGTCGCCTCTTACGACAAGCATGGGTTGCTAAAGACCCAATTCTAACCCGGAGAACAATCATGGTATCGAATTTTGCCATGATCGTGGTTCACACATATGTGATCAAAGTGACGTCACAAGTTGACTCCATGGTCGTTGATCAGTTGCGTAAGTTCGTATGAAGAAACTTTAGAGACTAATTTTGGTGGCCCAGTAAGTTGTCTAAGGCGCCGCAATTCACTGTGCAGAGTTACGTCCCCATGGCACGCCAGAAATCTTATCGCAGGTTCGGACCCCGGTTCGACCGATTAAGATTTCCATGTTTGTCAGCACGAGCTTGTGGGTTTCACCAAAGTGGTAAACGTCTGAGACCTGCATCACTTCGGTCTTCCCCCAGATTAAGACGGCACGTCGTGATATAACCGGAATATTGTACAAAGCTGAATTAAACCCAGCTCAGGGGCGGTCGGGTAGCCTAGTGGTTAAAGCGTTGGCTCGTCACGCCGAAGACCCGGGTTCGATTCCCGACATGGGTGCAATGTGTAAAGCATATTTCTGGTGTCCCCCGCCGTGATATGGATGGAATATTGCTAAAAGCGGCGTAAAACCATACTCACTCACTAACAAAACCCCGCTCAGTCGTTCAGGCGCAACTCTATACCTTATTTTTCAACATTTCAGTCAACCGTCTGGGCTGCCATCCCCAAAGGCTACATTTTGAAAGGTAGGAAAATGTTAAGTGTGGCATGTTTGTGTTTCAAATACGAAATGTGTGGGGAGATAACAATATAAGGGTCTAACTACATCCCATAGTTATAATCACCGGCATCCATGTTTTGTTTTGGGGCACTTTTTTCATTTTATGGTGCAAGGATTTTTGCTAACATTTGCTTGGGTCTGTCAAAATAAAACAAAATGTGTGTATTTCAATATTTCTTTATTTCATTTGTTGGGCCATGAAGAGTGAGTATGGTTTTACGCCGCTTTTAGCAATAATCAAGCAACATCACGGCAGGGGACACCAGAAATGGGCTTCACACCAGAAATGGGCTTCACACATTGTACCCACGTCGGGAATCAAACCGGAATCTTCGGCGTGACGAGCCAACGCTTTAACCACTAGGCTACCCGACCGCCCCGGTGCATGAAGATGTTTGGGACATTCGGGCTGGTTTGGCAAAACAACGTGTTGAGTGTTGGAAGTTGACTGAGTTTGGTTTAACGCCGCTTTTAACAATATTCCAGTTATATCACAGCGTGTCAGCTTAACGTGGGAGGAAAGCCCGAGGTGATGTAGGTCTCAGACGTTTACCACTGCTTCAGCAATTGACATTGACACAATTCCCTGTTTAATATGCATACACATCCTTAATTTAAATTCCGCATGATATATTTTCAGTTGTGTAGTGATGTAATTGAGTTTGCTTGAACAGTTTTGGTTGTAAGGAAGCCTGACGTCATCCAAGATTATCCCGGGCCCCTTCGCAACCACTGCTCCCTTTTTGAGTACGATTCAAAAGCAATGAGTGAGTGAGTTTAGTTCAGCTTCTAACAGTATTCCAGTTATATCACGGCCAACCAGCTTAATGTGGGAGGAAAGCCAAGACGTGAAACACACCAGCAGGGGTATGGCGCTGACAAACCTGGAAAGATTTTTTGAGCGAACCAAAGTGGTAAAGGTCTAAGACCTGCATCACTTCAGGCTTTCCTCCCACATTCAGCTGACGCGCCATACAACTGGAACACTGTTCAAAGCGGCGTTAAACCCAACCCACTGACTCAACCTAAAAATCATTTGATTGGATCCAGTGTTGGCGACCATCTAGAGAAGCAGTGTTCATGCACAACGTTCCAGGGGGTGTCGGTGGTAAATTATCAACATGAAATTGTAGATATTTCCAACGAGTTCGTGGATATATGAAACTAATTTAAGAAGGGATCGTGCTTAACATTTTTTCAGGCTGATACGGTAATGATTTCAGTGAAGCCCGCCTGTGGCAGTGACGGGGTTGTTGATGCGACAATAACGGTGACCTCGGACTTAGAGGTGAAGGCAACGGCTAAGTGTGCTGGCGGATTGGTGGACTTCGGAAACCTTGACTCTGCCAACCTTCAACTTTCTGTGTCATACCCAGGTCACGGGACATCAAAATGCGTCTTTGTGGTAAGACCTTTTTAAAAATTAAATCAGTGTACTTACATTAGTTGACCCGTGAAGATCCTGGGTTGCTTGCCGTAAAAGTCGATCGTGCTTGGCGAGAGAGGCCACTAACGGGATCGGGTGGTCAGACACGCTGACCTGGTTGATGCATGTCGTCGTATCCCAACTGCGTCGATCAATGCTCATGATGTCAATCACTGGATTGTCTGGTCCAGACTCGATTATTTACAGACCATCGTCATATAACTGGAATATTGCTGAGTGCGGCGTATAACAATAAATAAACAAACTTACACAAGTCTACTTGAAGTTAAGGACCACCCTATTCTTTCATTTTATTACAACGAAACTGTTTCGGTATGACAGATTAACTTTATATAGCGATATGCTCTTTATCTTTTGAGCAGTGGGGCATTGGGGTTAGCCTAGAGCTTTCTTTCGACACGTCTAAGACCCGGGTTTGATTCCCCACATTGGTACCACTTGTGAAACCTATTTCTGGTGTCCCCCCGTCGTGAGTTTGCTGGAATATTGCTAAAAGCGGTGTTAAACCATACTCACTCACTCACTCGTTTGAGTAGTATGTCACAAAGTTCAGCTTCGACGCCCTCCCACCATTGTCTGATCAGACCTTAAGCCAATGATATTGTGTTCGTTTTGTTTGTTGTTTAACGCCGCACTCAATAATCGAGTCCCGATCAGACAATCCAGTGATTGATATCATGGGCATCGATCCACGGAAATGGGATACGATGAGATCCATCAACCAAGCCTGACCACCCGATCCCATTAGTAGCCTATACGACAGCTAAGTGTCAATTAACGGAGTGCGGCGGTGTACAAGAAACAAGTGATGATACCGGATGACACAACTGTAAAAACAATAATTCGCCTTCAGCAACGCCCCGGGGCCAAGGTGTACACGGTCGACGTCGTGGTGGCGTACGGCGAGCCAGGCAGCCTCGTTCATCAAAGAACTGAAGAGGTCACCTTCACCTGCACGTTTGGCTCCAGAGGCAAAGACAAAAGTCCTTCACAGAAAATGGCAGACAGGTTTGTCTGCACATCAGGAATCTGTTAGTGCTTCCAGTATAAGGGAGGAACCATTTGACTTGTACAGAATGGGAGGGAAGAGTTGGGAACAATCTGGTTTTTTAGCTAGCCGTATCCAAGAAACTATTTATTTACTGTGAACCATCAAACAATCTATTTCTTTTCACTATTAACACAAAACATATGACATTAGGGTTTGGGTTTTCTCAAAACAAAATGTTCATTTGGGGCATAGACACATGAAGATCCTGGGTAGAATAGGTCTTCAGCAACCAACGCTTGTCGTAAATGGCGACTATGCTGTCGTAAGAGGCGATTGGATGGTCAGGCTCACTGACTTGGTTGATGCATGTCATCGTATCCCAATTGCGTGGATCGATGCTCATGATATCAATTACTCGATCGTCTGGTCCAGATTTGATTATTTGCGGACCGCCGTCATAGAGCTGGAATATTGCTGAATGCGGCGTTAACAAATAACGTGTACCCAGACAGGGGCGATGGGCTAGCTTGGTGGTTCCACCTTTCGCACGTCACACTCGATTCCGTGTGTCGCCCATCGTGATATTGCTTGGAGTGTTGCCAAGGTGGTGGTAACCATGGACAAGCTGGATTTCGAAAGTTATTCCGAAAACCGAATAGTTGTACGTCCTTTCGGCAATACCACGGCCGCGTCATACAAAACGACGTTAAAAGTGGTACTTGTGACCCGGCCTAGTGCTCGGCATTAAGGGGCTAAAACAAGGCCTGGTCGGTAAACTGTCTGAGCGGGGTGTCCATGTTAAACTGCGGCATACTATCTAAGTCAGCTGGCACTATAAAACCGAAATACGTCCGGACAAGCAACTACACACACGTACTCACGATCTTTTCACTCGCTATATGAGTGAAATAATATGAAATAATATGACTTTAAACCCTAGTTTACTCTCCCTTGGGACCGCCTTCGTGGTCTGGTGGTAGAGCGCCCGCCTGAGAGCGGAAGGTCCGGTGTTCGATCCCCGGCCACGTCATACCAAAAGACGTGAAAAGATGGTACTTGTTGTTACCCTGCCAAGCGCTCGATATTGACGGCCGTAAATAAGGCCTCGTCGGTACACTGAGTGGGGTATTCATGGTAAACTGCCGCATGGTATCTCAGTGGGCTAGCACAATTCAATCGGCATCAGCCCGGACTAGTACAAGCAGCCATACACATGCAGGTAGCAATATAAGTGCAATAATCTTGGACGCGACGTTAAACCCCATTTCACCTCAACTAATTCAGTGCTTCACCTGAGGTTACATTCTTCATAGCCCTGTCGTTGTGTTCTGTTACAGTCTGATTGCTCCTATAGTTCTGGAGCAGAACGCGGGCACGGAAGCGAAGAAGACATCGTTTGCACTGTTTTTGACCGATATCCTTCGCAGACCAATAAAAGACCCAGTCGGCCTTGGTCGGGTAGTTCAGCTGATAGCAAAAAGCAGCGGTTTGTATTGTGATGGCTAAATCATGCATGGGAATGTCTGTCTGCTTAACCACCACTTCTTAACCTGAGTTCTAATGTGTTTGTAAATTCTGAACTTTGAGTGGCCCGGTCGTCTTAGGAGCAGGAAGGTGTTGCGAAATTTGCTGCGAAATTTATTCGTCCCGATTATGTTTCTAAGCTTGCCAGCATCATACCCGGGTAAACGTCTAAGACCCGCATCACTACTCGTCTGGCTTTCCTACAATATTAAGCTTACACGCCGTGATATAACTAGAATACTGTTAAAAGCGGCCTTCAACACAACTCACTCCAAGTTTTAGTTATGACATGAGTGTGGTCCCGTCGTTCCAGGTGCCACAGTTTGCTGTGCAGAGTTGCGCCCGTCGTTCCGGGCGCCACAGTTTGCTGTGCAGAGTTGCGCCCGATGTTCCGGGCGCCACAGTTTGCTGTGCAGAGTTGCGCCCGTTGTTCCAGGCGCCACAGTTCGCTGTGCAGAGTTGCGCCCGTTGTTCCGGGCGCCACAGTTTGCTGTGCAGAGTTGCGCTCGTTAGGCCGAATACTTTTATCGCAGGAATATGATGAATGCCATACTCTAGAGCTTCCCATTTGAAACAGAATCACGACATCTCGCAAATAATAATAAACGAAGCTGCATGTGTGCTAATACTAAATTAATATCAAACACGTGAAGATCCGGGTTAGAAAAGGTCTTCAGCAACCCATGCTTGCTGTAAAAGGCGACTATACTACGTAAGAGGCGACTAACAGGATCGGGTGGTCAGGCTCGCTGACTTGGTTGATGCATGTCATCACTGGAGTGTCTGGTCCAGACTCGATTATTTACAGACCGCCGTCATAAAGCCGGAATATTGCTGAGTGCGGCGTTAAACAACAAACAAATAAAACTCGGCTCCCATTATACTTTCACCATTGTTTTGTGTTTGTTTATTCCAGGCGGGATGGGAGAAAAGGGTTTCCAACCAACGTCTTGCGATGCAGTCGGGTCCGCGCCTGGTTCACGATACGCCATTCTGAGAGGAGGGTATGACTTAACCCATGAGCCCTACGTTGAGACATGGACACTGAGACATGACAACTCACATCTGAAAGATGTTTGGCAGTTTACAGTTCAAAATGAGGTGGGGGCATGGTTTGCCCAGTTGCCTAAAGCGTCGCAATTCGCTGTGCAGAGTTGCGTCCCTTCGGCGCGCCCGAAATCTATGATCGTGGGTTACAATCCCGGTTCGCCCCGATAATGTTTCTAGGTTGTCAGCACCATACCCGTTCTCGTGGGTTTCACCAAAGTGGTAAACGTCTGAAACCTGCATCACTTCGAGTTCTCTTCCCACATTAAACTGACACGCCGTGATATAACTAGAACATTGTTCAAAACGGCATTAACCCCAACTCACTCACTACCTCAAAATGAGGTTAAATCCTCGTTAGGTTTACCACTGTTCCCATTCGCACATACCTTGGAGAATAGGTCCCAGTAACACATGAATCTTGTTCACACGGTAAAATTCGAAAGAAAGGTTGGGGACACGGATGGCCGAGTCGTCTAAGGCGCCGCGATTCGCTGTGCAGATTTGGGTCCCTTTGGGCACGCCAGAAACCTATGATTGTGGGTTCGAATCCCGGTTCTCCCTGATTATGTTTCTAGGTTTTTCAGTACCATACCCTTGCTCGTGGGTTTCACCGTAATCGTCTGAGACCTGCATCACTTCGGGCTTTCCTCCCACATTAAGGTGTGTGTGACTATGGTTTGAGTGGGGGCGATCGGGATGGGGCGTGCAGCGTTACTTAACTTCATAACTCTTGATAGGGATTATTGTATGGTATATACAATTTACCTACTTCAAATGCAGGCGTATATTAACAGGATTAAGTATTGCATATTTTTACAGGTGCGGAGACGGAATTGTTTTTTCGAAGGACGATGGTTTTTCAACATTTGGCCTGGTTGCATCAAGTCCGTTTTTTAAAGCGTTGAGTATAGCCAGCAGCACAGACGTCAAATTCGAGTGCAACTTCACTCTGTGTTCGGAGAAGTGCGATGGGGTAAGATGAAAGATGCTGAAACTTGGTCACCTACGCTACAAATTGTCACCTATACTACTCAAAAGAAGTTAAGGACCACCCGATTTTTGCATATGACTGAAGTTAATCTGTCAGTGCATGGGGCGGTGGGGTAGCCTTGTGGTGGTGGGGGGGGGGGGGGGGGGGGAGGGGGGGAGGGAGACACGGGTGGCTGTGTCGTCCAAGGCGCCGCAATTCGCTCTGCAGAGGGGGGGGGGGGGGAGGGGGGAGGGAGGCACGGGTGGCTGTGTCGTCCAAGGCGCCGCAATTCGCTCTGCAGAGTTGCGTTTTGTCGGATATCTGTGGTACTTTGAACCGCATGAGATTGCTCTGGAGATCTAAAATACCAGTATAAAGTTTTTATTGTTTAATTTTTTAGAGTTCCTGTGAAGCAGCCCGAAGACGCAGAGAAACACGGGAAGGTGTGAATTCGAAATAAATATAACATTGAAATTTGTTTCTGAAATATGAATTTTGGGCGACCGAGCTTGTCGATTTGTCAAGATAAATGATTATATGTATAGTTTAACTAACCCGAGAGGTATCTGTCTTCATATTTGGACGATGTTGCGGCGATGGAATATTTACAACTAGTATACTTGCCGCCATAATCGCGGAGACCGCGTGGCACTGGCCACATCGCAGGGCGTCTCACAGACCACATAACTCGGACACCATCTCGGGATCGGGTGGTCAGACTCGCTGACTTGGTTGATGCATGTCATCGTATCCCAATTGCGTGAATCGATGCTCATGATGCCAATCACTAGATTGTCTGGTCCAGACTCGATTATTTACAGACCGCCGTCATCTAGCTGGAATTTTGCTGAGTGCGGCGTTAAACAACAGACATACACCATCTCGATCCACATTCGCCTCACATAGTAATGACAAAGATCATGCTGACTCTGAGAGCAACAGGACGTGGTCTTGCTGGAACACTGGTATCTTGAGTATTTGATCCATAAACACATGCTTATGATCTTGTCGGAATTGTACAATGGATTTCTTATGCATTTTGGAAGTGTTGATTATCACTGTTGCAATACATGTTGATTTTCATCTGTCGAACACTGCCTGGTACACTGACATCAACTGGCCCGCGCGTCTTTTTTTTCGAAATACAGACCTCAATGCCAGTATTTGCCACAGCATTGAAGAATGACAAGAATGCGTCCTTCAGTGAAGCGACGGATCCTCACACTTCACTCGTACGTCCCACTCTCCCAGCTGCCGGATCTAACATGAAGTAGACTATGATAGTCCGGGGTTCGGTCCCCGGCCACTCTCCCAGATGACGGATCTAACATTAAGTAGACTATGATTGAGTTCGGGGTTCGATCCCCGGTCGCGTCATACCGAAAGACTTTAAGAGATGGTACTTGTTGTTGCCCTGTCTGGCGCACGCACGCACGTGTGCATGCACTTCGCTATGTAAGTGCAATAATCTTTGAAGCGACGTTAAACCCAATTTGACCTCACCTTACCTCACCTCACCTAAGTAATATTGAAACGATTGTTCGCGAATCGATTAAATTTATTTGAAAACAATTTTATTCTTGCAGATCCTGCGCCTGTTGCGGAGCACCAAGTAATGATGGAGACGAGAGTGTTTGAAGTTGACACAAGGCGTTAACGTTCTTTAGCTAAAAATGTCAGGTCGATGCTATCCTAAGCAGTTACAAAGTGAATTCAAACTGTGGGTGTAGCGAGAAATAAAAAAATATGAAACACATTATGCGGACTGATATTTAGGTCACCTGGGCCAAAGGTTCAAGTTCTTTCGTCATGGTCAACCATTGTTCGTTGTGAAAGTTGACAAACTTCTTTATTCTGTCAGCGACGTTTCGGTACATATGAGTATAGGGTGAGTGAGTATGGTTTTACGCCGCATTTAGCAATACTCCATCAATGTCACGCCTGGGAACACCAGAAATGGGCTTCACATATTGTACCCATGTGGGGAATCGACCCGGATCTTTCACGTGACGAGCGAACGCTTTAACCATTAGGCTTACCAACAAGTGTCTTCTGAGCAAGTGATCTGCAGCTGAGAAGGACATGGTTATAGCCAAGAGTTAGAGATTAGCACACAAAAATACCAAGAGGAAAACAAGGGCGACAAATGGCGACAAATAAAGTGATGAAGCTTGTAACAAGATGGTTTGCTTGCAGGGCACGGTTTTGTTTTGTGTGCCTAACGCCGTATTCAGCAACATTCCAGCTATATGACAGCGGTCTGTACACAATTGTCTGGACTAGACAATCCAGTGATTGACACATATGAGCATCGATCTACGGACTACGATGACATTCATCAACCAAGTCCGTGAGCCTGACCACCCGATCCAGTTAGTCGCCTCTTACCACAAGCACAGTCGCCTTATTTACGGCAAGGATTGGTTGTTGACGATCTCCGACCCAGGTGACGGGTCTGCATGGTTCGGTTTCATTGTGATTCCTGTTGAGGTACCGTGGATCGGGACCGCCTCCGTGGTCTTGTGGTAGAGCGTCCGCCCGGAGAGCGGTAGGTCCGGGGTTCGATCCCCGACCGCGTCATACCAAAATACGTAAAATATGGTACTTGTTGTTACCCTGTCTGGCGCTCGGCATTAAGGGGCTAAAACAAGGACTGGTCGGCTCGAAGTCAGTATACTGTCTGAGTGGGGTATTCATGTTAAACTGCGGCATGGTATCTCGGTGAGCTAGCACTATAAATCGGCATCAGTCCGGACTAGTACAAGCAGCCACACACACACACACACGTGCATGCACGTCGCTATATAAGTGCAATAATCTTGGACGCGACGTTAAACCTCACCTCACCTCACCTCACCTCACCTCACCTCACCTCACCTCACCTGGTTACATGGCCATGTGCGTGTCATTGTCCCCGACGGCGTATACCATTACTCATGTTGTGTCATGGAGTCAGCCTGACCCAGGGTGGTCAACATACAGGCTCGCGTGATTCGCGGTATATATTGCTGACTGTGGCGTTAACAATATTCACTTGTTCGGATTCCCGAAATTTACTCACATGGGCTGCGAGTGGCTTGCAACTTTTCCTGCCACCAAACAATGCCTCTCAATGTTGGCGGGGACACGGTAGGCTCGGTCGTCCAAGGCGCCACACGTCGCTGTGAAGAGTTGTGTCCCTTAGCATGCCGGGAGCGTATGATCACTGGTTCGAATCCCTGTTCGCCGCGATTTTCTTTCAGGTTTTTCAGCACCAAACACGTTCTCGTGATTTTACAATATGGTAAACGTCTTAGACCTATTTCAGGCTTTCCTGCCACATCAAACTGAATTAACTGAAATACTGTTAAAAGCGGCGTTAAACCCAGCTCACTGTCTCAATATTGGTGTTATTACCAAAGGATGCGTACACTGAAAGTGATCCGGGTGGTGAATGTCTTCAGCAACCCATGCTTGCCATGAGTGGCGACTATGCTTGTAAGGGGCTACTAACGGGATCGGGTGGTCAGGCTTGCTGACGTGGTTGATGCATGTCATTGTCAGCCAATTGCGTAGCTCGATGCTCATGATGTCAATCATTGGATTGTCTGGTCCAGACTCGACTATTTACAGACCACCGTCATGTAGCTGGAATTTTGCTGAGTTCAGCGTTAAACAACCAAAACAAAACACTGAAACTCGTATGAAGATTTATCCGGTTTGTTTTTAATCAGATATCAATAAACAAAACAAGTTAGGGATCATGAAATGTTTTTATACACCGCACACATTTAAAGAAACTCACCACACAAAAATATCCGGCGAGTCATGATCCCTTACTTATTTTGCTAAGTATATATGATACTCCTTTTAGGCGTGAACCAGTATTCCAGGGAAGGCGAACGTCCAGGTGATGTCCAGTCTCATTTGAAAGGATAATAAGGGTGATCTTTGAATCTGTAAGAAAAAAGTGTATGTGATCCAACATTATAAAATTACAAAGTCAAACATAACCAAAAATGTTATTAGAAATAAAAGGCTCTTTTCAATTGAAGTTCACTTCATTCAGATAAATGTATCACAGACAGTACAGTACATATGACTGCAATGCAAAATGTGTCTCGTAAAGTCTCGTAAGGCCTCGTATGGCCACGCATTATCTTCAGATGAAAGCTGTAAAATACTATTCAAAAGAAGTTGAAGAACACATGATTTGTTCCTAGAACTAGCTAATGTCATCGCCGGTGCGTATCTCAAACACAGCCTCCAGTTGTGAGAGTTCATGAAGTTATTTTGATTAGAATTTATACCGCCTACATGTTCTAGTGGTAGAGCGTCCGCCCGGCGTCATCCCCAAAACGTTAAAAGATGGTAGTTGTTGTTACCCTGCCTGGCACTCGGCATTAAAACAAGGACTGATCGGCTCGGAGTCAGTATAGTGTGTCTGAGTGGGGTATCCATGTTAAACTGCGGCATGGCCTCTCAGTGGGTTAGCACTATAAACTCGGCATTAGTCCGGACTAAAAGACGCACACGCACACACACATACGCACGTCGCTATATAAGTGCAATAATCTTGGACGCGACGTTAAAGCCCTTTTAATCTAACCTGATTAGAATATATACAGCATGACACTTGAGATCTCTCTTCCTCGAGAGATTACATGTATATCCCATGTCCCTCGACACTAAGCTGCGTGTGAGGTGCACCGGAAGAGGATTGGCTGGTCGGGCCTTGTCCTGGTTGTTTGCGTGTAAGCACACCCCGACGGCGTCAAACGTTCCTGATATCAATCACTGGTTCATCTGTCCCAGGGTCAATAACTTCAAGCTGCCGTGTGTAGCTGAAGTACTGCAGACTGGCACTAAATGACATTCCCTCACTCACTCGAGCAGCACTACAACACGACAGGAGCATACTGACTGGGAAGTCGGGTTGAATCTGTAGTTGCGGTTGAGAGAAGTAATCTTCTTCATATCCTCGCCACTGAGAGCAAAGTCGAACACCTGAAATCAAGATAAAGAAATATTACATCGGATCCAGTAACCATGGGGACATTCAAGGTCAGGCCATTGCCAGAACATACCAAACACAACATGTTCAATACAGGGATTTGGTTGGGGATCCACTGGCTGGCTGTGATTGTTTTGAACATAATATAATTTGTGGACCAAAATGATGGACCAAAATGAGTTTGCTTCAGGTTGACTTGTGTGTCAGTATTTACCTTGAATCTCCCGGCACGAAACCCGTGAGCATGTACACATTACCCAAATGATAACAATACTACTCAAAACAAGTTAAAGAACACTCACAATTGGTTTGATTTTTGTTATTGTTTAACGCCGCACTCAGCATTATTCTCGCTATATGACGGCGGTCTGTAAGAAATCGAGTCTGGACCAGACAATCCAGTGATTGACATGATCGACCTACGCAATTCGGATAGGATAACATGTATCAACCAAGTCAGCGAACCTGACCACCCGACCCCGTTATATTAGCCGCCTCTTACGACAAGCAACCTTATTTAGGTACCGGTAATTCATTAGAGGGAGGATGGTCATGGAACGAGTACTGGGGGCATTGAAAAAAGTTACTTAGACCAATCATCCCCACCAGTCCCTAAATAAAAACCGTAAACGGAACGTGATGCGTCTTCTATCTTTAAATTCCAACTCCGGGTCCCCCCACCTGCACATTCTCTGTGATGTACTGGGGTATCACACTGCTGGGTATGACGGCATAGCCACGCTGTATTCCCCACCTCAGAAGAATCTACAAGAAATAAATATACTCATGGAATAAAAAAGGGAACTCGGAAACAGGTTTTATACTGCTGTGTCAAATATACTGAAATAACAAATATAAATGTGACCATATGTTTATTTATTATCATGTGATTTTCGAAGCGCGTTACACAAATCACCTCCTTGATATTCTTTGAAGATTTAATTGTGTCGACTAATAATCCATATTCAGGTCCGCGAGATCTCCCGCGAATCTCACTGTTGGTAATCACGTGACACAGGACATGCTATTCCTACGAACATGGCGTCTATTGTTTACCAGACAACTTGACTCGCATTCTCTTTCAGTAAACAGCTATTTTATCGGGGGATGTACACTTAATATACTTGTGAGATGTCGCTGTGATGAACGGAAATGAACACATACGCATTTTGGTCACTCAGCGGTGAATTTGATAGTAGCCATTTTGTAATTTCGCCTGTCTTTGTCACATGAGCACAGAATGAAACGGAAAGTCCAGAGTAGAATGAAACAAACTTATAGAAACTTAAACGCCTACCTGAGCAGGTGTTTTATCGCATTTCCTGGCAGTCTCCACAATCCTTGGGTTCTCCATCAGACTTGGCGCATTTGATGGTGTACTGCATGCCAACACACAACACGGAATTATGAACACATTAACAGGTAGCAAATCAGGAGAAAGACTGTCGTGTGAATGACAAGTTAAATTATGGAGGGAAAAGACACAAAGTAATATCATTTTGGTCTCTAAGATCGTTGAAATGGGGATTTGTTTTATGTGTGGATGTCACTGTGATTGTTGATGCCGTTCGGATCTGACAAAAATATCAGGTGGCAATTTCCTAATTCAGACTCAATGAGTTCATAGTTCAATGATCCCGTGAAGATCTGGGTCAGAATTTTAGGTCTTCAGCAACCCATGCTTGACGTAAGAGGCGACTATGCTAGTCGTAAGGGGCGACTAACGGGATCGGGTGGTCAAGCTCGTTGACTTGTTTTATTCATCATCGTATCCCAATTGCGTAGGTCGATGCTCATGAAATCAATCACTTGATTGTCTGGCCCAGACTCGATTATTTACAGACCACCGCCATATGACTGGAATATCGCTGAGTGCGGCGTTAAACAACAAACAAACAACCAAACATAGTTCAACGAGGGGGCACGGGTGACGCAGTTGCCTAAGGTTGAGTCGCGACCTTTAGGCGTGCCAAATACCAATGAACATGGGTTCGAATCCCCGTTCGTCCAGATTGTTTCAGGTCAGCACCATACCCGAGCTCTTGGATTCCGCCAAAGAGTTGAACATCATCACGGCTTTTCTGCTAAATACTGCTAATACTGCTAAAAGCGGCGTAAAACCATACTCACACAGTCACACTCAAGAGTTACTGTTCAAAGAGATATCAACCCAGATTCGCTGATAATTTCTATGGAAGAAAATGGGAATATGAGCACCTACTTAGATAACGTACTATATCATATTCGGGCCGCCAAGTGGGGAATACCCCGTCACTGTAGTTCCATGAGCACTGCAGAATTCCAAGAGTTCCTCGTTGGTGAGATATGGCGTCACTTCGATCTGAAAACATACATCTTCTGTGGCACAGTGGTCGCATTATAAACACAGGAAGAAACGTCACGGTGGATGAACAGTGGGGTGTTTTGTTTTTGGTTTGTTGTTTGACGTCACAATCCAGTATTCCAGCCTATTTGACGGCGGTCTGTTCTCACCATGAGTGAGTGAGTGAGTTGGGTTTAACGCCGCTTTTAACATTATTCCTGTAATAACAAGGCGTGTCAGCTTAATGTGGGAGCAAAGCCCGAAGTGATGCAGTTCTCAGACGTTTACCATTTTAAGAAACCACGAGAAAGCGCATGGTGCTGAGAAAACAAGAAAAACAATCAGGGCGAAACGGGATTCGAACACATGATCGTTAGCAACCGACATGCCTATAGGACGCTACTCTTCACAACGAATTGCGGCGCCTTAGATGACTATGACTAGCCATGACTGAAGAGGGAAGAACACATACCATTTCAGCAACTGCATTACTTTGTGAAGATCCGTGTTAAAATATTTCTTCAGCAACCCATGCTGGTCGTGAGAGGCGACTAACGGGATCGGGTGGTCAGCATCGCAAACTTGGTTGATGCATGTTATGGTATCCCAATTACATGCGCATGATGTTTAATCACTTGATTGTCTGGTCTAGATTCGATTATTTACATTTATTTATAGCTGGAATTTTGCTGAGGCGTTAACAACAACAACAAACAAACAAACAATTTGCAACTAACAAGTCTACAAACCTGCAGCACAGCCGGTTGATAGCGGATGCTGGGCATGTTCAGGAGGCGCTCCAGCTGCCCCAGGTTGAAATTGGCAACCCCAATAGACCTTACCAGACCCCTGTCAATCAGATCTTCCATTGCCTGTAATAGACTGTAGTTTCAATAGGCACTGATGTACGGTGGTAGAATGCAAAAGGTACATGGTGCTTGCAAGCCTGTAAAAAATAATGAGCTGCGTCTGCGACAGAATCTTTTCCAGAATGATTAGAAATCTCTACTAAAAGCAGAGTCGTTTGTACGATTCCGACTATATCATAAGCTTGTGTGTATGACTCATTATCAAATAGTGATGACACCAGGTGTTCGCGAAAAGGTGACCCTTTTAAATTATCTTCCGTTTAGTGAGAGATGAGAATATGTTTTTTTATTATAGAAATGAAGTCAATGATAGTATATGATGAAGAGGTTATTCGAGTTTTGTTTTAAAATTGTTACAGTTGTGACTTTGACACATCTCCGAGTGAGATGGGACCGCCTCCGTGGACTTGTGGTACAGCGTCCGCCCCGACAGAGGAAGGTCTGAGGTTCGATCCCCTGCCGCGTTATACCAAAACACGTCAACAGATGGTACTTGTTGTTACCCTGCCTGGCGCATTAAGGAGATAAAACAAGGACTGGACGGCTCGGAGTCAGTATACGCCTGCACTGCGGCCTGCCTTCTCAGATGGCTAGGACTATAAAACCGTCATTAGTCCGGACTAGTACAAACTGCCACGCACACACACACACATGCACGTCGCTATATAAGTGCAGTGATTTTTATCGCAACGTTAAACCCCATTTCACCCCACCTCACCCAGTGGGAGAGAGAGAGTGCGCGGATCTCACCTGCCAGGTCTCCAAGTAGTCCACATCAGTCGGGACAAATGTAGCTTGAGTAAAATGTCCTCTTGAAGATTCATTATCCTGGTAAAATTACTATTGATTCATTAAACAGCATATATAAAGGCTCAGGCATAGACCATTATATATTTATCCTTTCTGTCACTGCTCCAAAATTTACCCTTTCTGTAACTGATTATATATTTACCCTTTTTGCAACTGCTTCAACATTTACCCTTTCAGTCACTGCTTTAATGAATACCCATTTTGCCACTGCATCAATGTTTACCCTTACTATTACTACTTCAATATTTACCCTATTGGACACAACTTTTACCCTTTATGTCACTGCTCCAGTATTTACCCTTTTGGACGATGCTTCAATATTTACCCTTTATGCCACTCCACCAATATTTACCCTTTCTGTCGCTGCTTCAATGTCACCACATACGAAACAACCACCCGCACCCTTCATCCACACCTCACATCAAATGGACGGTTCCAAACTTACTTCATGGCCCATCGGCCAGTGCATGAGGTAAAGGTCAAGGTAGTCAAGTTGAAGGTCACGTAGTGAATCTCTGCACATGCGTTCAACTTTGGAGGGCTCATGAAAGGTATTCCATAACTGCAATGGACACCTATAACACTCAATCATTGCAAACGTACCAAACAACGTGAATATACATGTATGCTGTAGTCCTCTGTGAAGTTTGCTTCAGTAGGTGTATTAATACTGTTTGTTCGTTTGTTTGTTGTTTAATGCCGCACAATATTCCAGCTATATGACGGTAGTCTGTAAATAATTGAGTCCGGACCAGACAATTCTGTGATTGACATCATGCGCATCGATCCACGCAATTGGGATACGATGACATGCATCAACCAAGTCAGCGAGTCTGACCACCCGATCCCGTTATTCGCCTCTTACAAACAGGCATAGTAAGTAGCCTCTTACGACAAGTGTGGGTTGCTGAAGACCTACTCTACCCCGGATCTTCACAGGTCGTCATGAAAAGGCAATCCAGTGATCTACATGTATATTATTAGCAGCCATACAGGCCTGACTGTCCAGTCCATGAAGTCATCTCCCTCGACCAACATACGAGGGGCGTTCAATAAGTTTTGCAACTTGGGCACTTGTGTTTACACAAACAATGTCAACTTGTGGAAGGGGTGACGCTAGTCACAACATCAGATGTTGACACCAATGCAGTCGTTGTTGACGTCTTTCTCGTCCTGCTCTTAAACGGTTTCGTACGGTCTGCTCGGAGATTTTGCGCAGTCCGGGTATTTGGGATGCGGCTAAGGTAGCTGTGGTCATCCTTTCACGTAATTGGTGCAGTCGGATGTAGCGATCTTTGGCGGGGTGGTTCCTCTTGGTCATCCCGGCCTTGGCCGATCACGTGTTGACACCGATCACATAGCCTTGTGATGGTGCTGGTCGCTACATTGAAAACCCAGGCTACAGCTGATCGTGATTCTCCTGCCTGCAAGGGGCCTATGACGTTGTTTCTTTGCACTTCTGTTAATCTTGTCATGTTGTTGAACTGTCACTGTTCGATTGACGCAGATGCCAGGCAATCATAAACCCTGCACTTTAATACCGTTCATAGTGATGCTGCACGTGCAGTGCGTGCAGCTCCATGGCCCTTTTGTTAATGCACTAGATGCGTTATCCCGAACCGTACGTGTTTCCCGACTGATGGTTTGCATGTCCCTGTGTGATCATTTTGATCCGGGATTTTTTTACTGACACTATAACACATTAAACCTCTTCGTTTTGCACCTCTTGGTCCGCTAATTTTGCTTATATGGTCAAACATATCCGTATTGCGTTACTTTTTTACTTGTATATATATTATATCATACCTCGGTGGCATGGCTCGGTGCTCACAATATCAATCACAGGGTTGTCTGGTCAATACACGACTATTCACTCTGAACATTTCGGTCTACAATAAGTACGACCATATGTACCGAGATAATAAGCATTCGAGATAATCGAATTCGACTCATCGGTGTTCGACAAAAATATATTATTATGATGATATGGGTTGAACTTCGTGTTAGGACCTTCACGTTTGTCTCCCTTGTTGTGCCACCAACAGCATTGTTGTCGCATGACGTCATGACATGATGACGTACCCTGTCCACAATTGACTTACCTTCGATGTCACAAAGAGCTGATCCCTCGTCACTGTACCGTCCGCTATCTTCTCTTTGATGGCGCCACCTACTTCCGGTTCCGTTGTATAGTACCAAGCTGTGTCGATATGCCGATAGCCACATGATATAGCAGCTTTAACTGCGGGCAACATCATGCCTTCCTACAGTGAGTGAGTGAGTGAGTGAGCTGGGTTTAACGCCGCTTTTAACAGTATTCCAGTTATATCACAGCGTGTCAGCTTAATGTGGGAGGAAAGCCTGAAGTGATGCAGGTCTCAGACGTTGACCACTTCGGTGAAACCCACGGGTATGGTACTGACAAACCTAGAAACATAATCGGGGTGAACCGGGATTCGAACCCACAGTCATAGGTTTCTGCGGCGCCGTAGACGTCTGGGCTACCCATGCCCCCGCCTTCCTACCAACACAAGCTGGTAAATATGCGAACATATGGTACAAGTCTAAACAGTGAATTGTCATATTTTTCAGGCGTAGTCTGGAATGGAAGTCGCCAGTTTGAAACTAGTGTCGTAACGATAAAGAAAGCTGCTTTCTGATTGGCTAATGTCGACTTGTTGTTGTCAAAGTGCGCGAAAGGTCGTTCTGACGTGACCCGTAATGGGATGTCCTCAGATCTTTGTTAGCAGTAGCGAGAACTAAGACCTGATTTTAATGAGATTGCTTGATGTCATGCCTAAATGGTCCAGTACATCAAATTACATTAATGCATTTGGAAAATTTTATAAATATAAACATTGAGGGTTTATAGTATTAATGGATCAGTCTACAAAAACGTTTTTCAAACAAACAGTTGACATGTGACACTTGTTTTATAATTACAGTTATTCAGAATATGATGTTACCTTCCTGTTTGCAAACGTCCCGAATCCTAACACCGGAAAAGAATAGCTAGTGTTGAGCCGTATACTTGGAACAGCAGACGCCATGTTGTATAAACAGATGTGACCTTTTCTCAAGGTCATAAGATAACATGACCTTGACAAGTAACAACCTATTGTCTTATCACCGTTTGCCTCTTAAAGATTAAAGGACTGTTAATTTGTTCGTGGGGCGACGTTGATGTAATCTGTGTGATACCAAATCCGCCTAAGTGATAGAGCTAGAATTCTCATATAAAGCAGAACCTGGAACTTTAGTTTTAAAAGTACATGTTGAAGTGAAAGTAAGAAAAATCATTGTACAGATTTTAATAACCTTAATGCATCAATAATAATATTGTTTACAAAATTTAGTTGTAAGAGCAAAAAGACGTTTGTCTGACGATTTGTCTGTACGCGTGTAAAACATCCACGTTAATGTTAATACAAGATAGATACTGATGGTTATTTTAAAACATGAACGCCAGTTAATATCTCTAATATCTGCCAAATATTCCATCGGGTGTAAAATGCAAAATAGTGATGAACATTAATCAGTGATGACACCTGGTGTTCGTGAAGCGGGTAAGCATGTCCTGCTCTACCTGTCATTGTCGTTGTGGGTACAGTTGTCTGAATCAGACATATTTACATAACAAGAACCATGCAGTTTTTGTTATCCTACGGTCCATTGTGTAGTCTAGTGGTTATGGCGTCACGCCGAAGGTCTGTGTTAGATCGGTAAATAATCGAGTCTGGATCAGACAGTCCAGTGATTGACATCATGAACATCGATCCACGCTATTGGGATAGATGACATGCATCAACCAAGTCAGGAGCTTGACCACCCGATCCCGTTAGTCGCCACTTACGGCAAGCATGGGCTGCTGAAGATCTATTCTACCCCGGATCTGCATGGGCCTCAACAACGAGGTGATTCAGGGTTAGAATAAGTCCCCAGGGGTGACCAAATGGATCGAGTGGTCAGACTTGGGGACTAGACATGATTATTTACAGGCTGCCGTCATGTAGACATTAGGGGTCACGTCAGAACGTCCCGCGAACTTTGATCGTTCAAGGAAATGAATAACAAGCAGTACACATCAACCAATCGGAAAGCAGCTTTCTCGATCTTTACGGAACTCGTTTCAAACTGTTGTCTTTCATTCCAGTCTTCGCTTTAAATATATGTTGACAAAATGTTAAAAATTAGAAAACTGAATAAACGAACATTCTGGAATGTCTATATGGTCGCGATGGAATCTCAGTACTCGTCATCGGCTATGCAACGTCACTTCCGTTCAAATGTTTATGTAATTGTAATGAGCTTGTCATGTAGATGGACTATTGATGAAAGTGCCAGAAGAATAATTTTATATTTGTTTCGACCACTGACCAAAGGTTTTAAGTTAATAAATGAAATCTGTAGGCTAACCAATAAACAAGAAAAGCCTACATACACACGGTATAGAGGCAGCTGATATTAATCAAGCACGCTACGCGTCTAGTCTCGCTATATAACATGCTAACACTTTGTACAAAACTAATCATTAGACATCTACCCGTTTCATTCCATTTAACTTCTGATTATGCACACATGCAACGTTAAACAAGATACCTTGCACGTCTAACCGCAGCTGTGTGCGTCACGGTCGTTGCATTGGAAGGGAATGCAAGGCGATTACGAGGTACAATGAAATGTTACTGAGATTCCATGTACCGTAGTTAGCCGTGAGATATTACCATGCAATCAGTAGCAATGTACTCCAGAGGCCAGTCTAGACAGTAATCTGTCAGTTAAAACGGTTCAGGTAGTATGCGAGGACACGGGTGGCACAGTCGTCCAGGGTGCCGCCATTCGCTGTGCAGAGTTGCGTCCCTTGGGCAAGCCAGAAACCTGTGATTGTGGGTTCAAATCCTGGTTCTCCCCGATTATGTTTCTAGGTTTTTCAGCCCTATACCCATGCTCGTGGGTTTCACCGAAGTGGTAAACGTCTGAGACCTGCATAACTTTGGACTTTTCTCCAACATTAAGCTGATGATATAGGGGCAATACTGTTGAAAGCGGCGTTAAACCCAACTCCCTCACTCACGCCGGTGATATGCCCGACATTTCAGACAACTTATTTCACTGTTCTGACGATTTATCTCACAGTTGAGACATTCCCAGATATCAACCTCTATAAGAAGACAAGGCGGCATGGCCATATCGCCCCTGATCAAGATGCGTAGGACAGGACAGGGTGGCTGGGACATGCCTTCACAATGTCCCAAGACTCAGTACCAAAGGTTGCCCTCAGATGGACGACAGCGGGGAAGGGGAGGGGAAGGCCAACAGCCGCCTGGCGTAAAACTGGGCCAGTCATGGGGTGAGGCACAACGCAAGCTACAGCACAAGACATTGTTTGTTGTTAAACGCCGCACCAGCAATACTCCAGCTCTATGACGGTCAGCACAAGACAGGCCGAATGGAGGACGCTTGTTATATGTCCCAACAGGGACCAGGAAGATTAAGTAGTTTGTCCAAACAATTTCTCTAAGTGTTCAGGCTATTAATCTCCCTGTTCGCCAATTTATTTCACTGTTACCACTGTTTAACTTACTGTTCAGACAATTTGGCTCACTGTTCATAAGAAAATGATCTCACTTTTAATTATCAGACAGTTAATCTCACTGTTTAGACTGTGAATATAACAGTTCGGACAATTTAATTGACATTTTCAGACAGTGTATCTCATTGAAAGAGTTGTATCTCACTGTTCAAACGATTTATCGGATAGTTCAGACGATTTAGCTCACCATGCAGACGGTCGTTCAGACAGATTGCATAATTTGTATTGAGATGAATGAGAGAAATTCCCTTTCTCTTCATAGGGACTGATATCATATTTCTCGATAGGGGTGATATCAGAAATCGCCAAGAATACCCAAGGCCTCTGGTTATAGGTCAAGGTCAGGATAGCTGAAGGCGCTGCGACATCATGACTGAAGCAGATCCATCTATCGGACACTTCAACCATACATCGGACAAGACAGTCCAGACAGTCCGCCGGACAAATACTTTCTGAAATGTGCACCCCACTACCTCAATTCATGTCAGGCATTTCAAAGAATGTAACATGTCCATTGAGTATATGTCGTTCACTCACATATTAAACCATTTGTAATGCGTAAAGGTCATCATTGAGACATTAGAAAGACAACAAAACTCGTCCACCATCCCTTTCAGTTCGTGCCATACCACATCACTCTCCTACTAAGAGAGGCTAGCGAGATGTGACGATTCTTCACATCTTTCACAGTCCCTTCAACAAATTAAGTGTGACCCGTGAAGATCCGGGGTGAAATAGGTCTTCAGCAACCCATGCTTGTCGTAAAGGGCGACTATGCTTGTCGTAAGAGGCGACTAACGGGATCGGGTTGTCAGGCTCGCTGACTTGGTTGATGCATGTCATCGTATCCCAATTACGTTGACCGATGCTCATGATGTCAATTACTGGATTGTCTGGTCCAGACTCGATTAATGACAGACCGCCGTCATATAGCTGGAATATTGCTGAGTGCGGCGTTAAATAACAGCATGTGTTTGAGCTCTTTCATGTTTTAAAAATCTTCACATAAAGACAAACATATCCATGTACTGAAACGGTGAACATTCACCGAGGAAATATCCTAAAACATGACCAACTATTTCGTTTTGCGTATTTTCCCGCCATTTACAATGGTTGTACGGTTCAACGTGCAGACATAGAAGCCCTTTGGAGCGATACCTTAACCTGAGCCCAGTCGTGTCGCAAGTTGATGACGTGCATTGATTCCTTAACTTTGAGTGAGTGAGTGAGTGAGTTGATGGGTGGGTGGTTGAGTGGGTGGGTTTTTACGCCGCTTTTAGCAATATTCCAGCAATATCACGTCGGGGGACACCAGAAATGGGCTTCACACATTGTACCAATGTAGGGAATCGAACCCGGATCTTCGGCGTGACGAGCGAACGCTCAATACCCCCATTCCACTGACCATCGAGTATAAAAGCGGGCTGCACCTCCTGACAGTACTCGACATGGATCAACTTCTTCGCAACGCTGCAGCCCTGGGCTGTGTTTTTATGCTCCAGCAACAAACTATGCAACAAGATGCAAGGAGAGCCGTGTGGCTGAGCAGTGATTGGGGCCTGACTAGGCCTATCCTCCGTTTCTGCATCTTCAGGAGGAGGCACAGTGGAGTCTTCTGGCACTTGAGATTGTTGAGGAGTGCTGGGAGGTCTCTTCTTTGCCTTCTGTCCTCCAACATTTCTGTTCTTTCTTGGAGCCATCTTCAGGATCTTGGTGCTGTAGTGTCCGATGAAAATCTGCGAAGTGAGTGTCGGCTGACCCTCCTTTCGTAGTCCGTTGGCCGTCAGATGTCACCGCTTGCTATGCGATATGTGTCGGATGGCGTTGTTAATGGGCGATTACCCTCCGATGTCACAACGGATAGCAATCGGACGGTGCTAAATATCATGTTAACCTCCGATGAGAATCGAATTGGTGATGGGCGGCTCTCAGGCGCGTCGGGCAAGACCACAGACTGCAATCAGATGAGCGTCAGGTGACTGTTAATTATCGGACACTCATCAGATTGCCGTCAGACGTCGGCTAGACACGCCCGATAGTTGCACAACACGATTCTGACACACATCGGACTGACTCGACATTCATCCGACACTGACTCGACATTCATCCGACACTGACTCGATTTGCGACCGGAAACGGCGTCCGATGGCGATTTCGCCTCATCGGATCACGCCCGACACGTCGGACACTGACCTGATAGTCGACAAACACAAATCGGATTCATCGGAGTGTGGGTTACCGGAAGTAAAAAACTTTGCTTCCGATGAGTGACCGATGAGCCAAAATTCTCTGTGGAATGGGGGGTATTAACCACTAGGCTACCCCAGCGCCCCAAGCTTACGTATTAGAGCGATTAAACTAAAATTTTCACAAACGAACATGTAGGCTGGCGCAGCACTATACCAGCGTCTTTACATTGCAAAAGAGCTCCCTTTGCACCCCAACACACATGTATATAATTACAAGAGTCTAAAGT